CCTTGAGCTGCGTCTGCGACATCAATTCCCAGCCTCTGCACGCGCGCGACGCAACACCGCTATTTCTATCACGTGCATCGCATTTTTGATATTCCATCGGCTGTCACCGACGCGCCATTATCTCTTGGAAAACCGAGCGATCAGAGAGTAATCTCTAGATTCGCTTGCTTTAACGAGTGGTGATGAGCAGCTCTTCTGTACCTGCACCTCTCGCGCGACGACGCAGCCATGGCATCGCATCTTGTCCGGACAGCGTCCAAACGTTCACATATCTCTTCTAGACTTGAGCTGACATGATGTAACTAGTTTCGAAACAGGGATCGGTCCAACAGGTCAGGACGCGGCCAGATAGAGCACAATGTACTGGAAGGATTGCCCATTAGTCAGTATCGGGAAGCCGAAATCACGATTGAACCAAACTCGGCCGACAACAAACCTTTGGACAAGGATGCTTGGCCCGAGCTGCCCATGCCTCGAGATTCTCACATGTTGCCTGAGCATTCTCAGCAATTGCTGCGAGCAGCACGCTCCGGGAAGTTGTACAAACCACCGGCCCCTCCAGAAGACGACAACGAGATGAAAGATGAGGAAGAAGAGACTAAAGAGATCCGTACCGGCTTCACTATCAAGAAGTACGTCAAAGTTGCACGGCATCTAGAAGTTTCGGAACCAGAGTATCTCGCGAAGAGAAGGAAAGGTCTCCCATCACCATACGTGAATGGTCAGGTTGCGCAACCTGCGTTGCGGGAAACCAAGGTTAAGAAACTCGATGCAGATGGCAACGTGGCTGTTTACAAGGTACTTGTACCAGAAGGACAGGCTGTAGAAGGCGAAGTCCAGCCTGAAGATGCTGCAATTGAAGTTGCGCCAGCTACTGCGGCACCGGGAACAATCGTCGAGGGAGTCGGTGTTGTGAATGCGGAAGGTGTCGTCGTAGCTAACGACATCCTACAACAAACGCCACCTCGGCGGAGGCCGCCACCTCCTAAGAAGAAGGTCAAGCGTGGGGGCCCAGGCAGAGGCAAGAAGAAGGTCGTCTTTGTCGAAGGAGCAGAGCAAGGGACGCCAGCATCAACTGCCGGCGGTGACATGCTGGGTGTACCAGGCGTCAAACAAGAGGACGGATCGGTAGCTCCGTCAGATGGAGGTGATACGCCAATGGCAGACGCCGGTGGCGAGGAAGAAGAGGGGTCTGGCGAGGAGGGCTCGGAAGATGAAGATCAAGACATGGAGCATACCTCCAACCCAGCGACCCCTCAGGCGTCCTCTGTAGTCCCACCCAGTGCTCCAGCGACCGAAGCCCCCAATTTTGCGGACGCTACATTGACAGAGAGCACCGCACTAGCAAGCCATCCGCCGCCGGCTTCCAACGAGCCCTCTCAAGATACCGCAACGATCGAGAGGACCGCAATCGAGACCGCTCCAATCGACACGTCGCTGCAGACGCCGAAACGTGACCAGTCAAGCTCACCTGATCTGCCGCTTTCTGCCGTCTCCCATAGTCGCCAGAACTCCATGAACCAGGTTTCGACTTCTACTACTACCACAGAAGCCATCTTTCCCGAGGAGGCTCCAAGCGAGGTTCCAGTCCCAGCTCCATCAGTGGAAGTGGAAGTGGACGCGGCACCAGCGCCTGTGGTCGTCCCGGAGCCCCAGCCTCAGCCTGAGCCTGTAGTTGAGGCCGAACCCAAACTTGAGGCTGAGCCTGTGCAACCTCAATCAGCTGCTCCTTCTGCACCAACTTCGGAACCAGACCTCATGGGAAGTCTGGAGAGGCAGCTTGAGGAACACGACAAGGACATGGCAGAGTCGTAGAATGGCAAAGCCCAATCCTCCCTCCCTCTACGAGCTTGTTACACATGCTGTATATTGGAATGGACGAATCGCGCACCTTTTGACGCAGCCGTCGGTCATTGTCGCCACATGCGAGGAGTTTGAGATGTACGCATTCTGGGTTTAGAAGAAGGGTTTCGTTTGGCGTTGTGCAAATCATTGTATTATTATCAACGAACGTATCAATTTCCAGCTTACTCACATCAATACACGCACTTTAAACCCGCGGCTCCTCTTATCGGCCTCGTACAGTCTTGCGCTGCTGTCGGCGGTATCGGCGTCGGAATCAACTACGCTACCCCACAACCCAACGCACGCTCATACGTCATTCTCGACTTTCCCCGTCGGGAACCGCATTTGTCAGAACAACACTAATCCAGCATGGGTATCACGACGGTACATGCTAACGCGACAAAGGCAGGTCGTTTACCGAGCTATCTACCGTAAGACTGGACGTATATATCAGCGACCAACTACAGATCATTTGCAGTTCAGCCACCCATTCTTGTAAACGTCGCAAGAGCATTGAAGCAGAATATGCCTTCCATAAGTGAGATTGTCAAGGCACATCAGCCAGACTTGGCTTCATATGAAGAGCTCTGTGGGTGATCATTGTAATCTATTGATTTCATCGCTAATGAAGTCGTAGACAAGTGGTTCCACACGCACCCGGAGCTGTCCTTCCAGGAAGCCAAGACAGCGGAAGCGATTGTCAAACATCTCGAGACCTTTAAAGCTTTCACAATTCATTCTTCCATCGGCGGTCACGGCGTCGCTGCCACATTCTCCAATGGCCCCGGAAAGACACTTCTCTTACGTGCTGACATTGACGCGCTACCCGTGGAAGAGAAGACAGGCCTGAACTATGCCAGTACAGCGCGTATGAAGGATGTGGACGATGTTGAGAAGCCCGTGATGCATGCCTGTGGCCATGACATGCATATTACCGCGCTGCTTGCGGCGGCGGAAACTCTGGTCAAATGTAAAGAGGCATGGAGCGGGGAGTTGATTTTGGTGTTCCAGCCAGCGGAAGAAAGAGCAGGTGGCGCGCAAAACATGGTGGATGATGGTCTGTACAACAAAGTCAAAGAGCCGGACGTTGTGGTGGGCGCACATGTCATGCCGGAAAGAGCTGGTGTTATTGGTACGAAGCATGGTCTAATCGCCAGCTCGGCTGATCGATTCCAGTAAATCCGCCCTTCTCCTGGAGATTTCATTCAAACTAACCCATATAGACTTCGCATCGAAGGTCGACAAGCCCACGCATCTACTCCCCATCGCGGCATCGACCCCATCCTACAAGCCGCATCCACAATAATGCGTCTCCAATCCATCGTAGCGCGAGAAGTAGACCCCCTAGATTTTGCCGTGGTAACTGTCTCCGCCTTCCACGCAGGCGACGCCGAAAACATCATCCCCTCGGAAGCCAACCTGAAAATCGACGTCCGCGCAGCTCTACCCCAAACCCGCGAACGCGTCCTCGCTAGCGTAAAACGTATCATCGCCGCCGAGGCCGAAGCATCCAACAACCCCAACACTCCTACCCTGACACCAACAACACAGTTCCCCTTGCTCTTCAACCACGCCGACGTTACCAACGCGCTTGAACAGTCCTTCTCCGCGCACTTCCAGCCTGGAAAGCATTCGTATCAATCGGACATTGCGCGTCTACAGGGCTCGGAAGACTTTGGTATCCTCGCTACTGCGATTGGCAAGCCGAGCTGCTTTTTCCTGTATGGAGGGACGGATCCAGCGGTTTGGGATAAGGCGGAGAAGGTGGGCAGGCTGAGTGAGGATGTTCCTGGAAATCATAGTCCCTTCTTTGCGCCGGTTGTGCAGCCTACGTTGACGGTGGGCATGGAGGGGTATGTTGTTGCTGCTTTGACTTTCTTGAAGAAGGGCGAGTAGTTACACTTCCATTTTCAAGCTTGTTGTGCTATGAGCTTTTGCATGAGCTGCAGTTATGCGGCGTGGTATGTTCTTTAGCTGCTAGTAGTAGTCGCTGCTTATACCCCGCATCCGCTCGCTGTTTGTACACCTGCATGATCTGAAAGTAACTACACAACACATTTTGTACGCGATGCTTCGGCAAGATTGAGTTCGAGGGTTCGGGAGTTCGAGGCCGCCCTACCTATACGAGATTGATATTCCATACAAGTAAGGAGTGTCTCTAACTTTATCAGCCTTTTCCACCGGCGTACCAACTACCACATATCGTCCTGCGTATCATTTGGAGCACTGAGACTTTCTGGCAATCTTGTAGACTTCAACTCTGCTCTTGTCCTGACTAGCGTGATCCACATCGACAAATAATGGTAGGGGTTGTCTGGATGTCATCCCCAGCCTCAATCCCTAGCTTCCCGACGAACCCAGTCCATTTGCGTTACCACTATTCCGAGAAGGCCAAGTTGTAACTCAGAGACGCCTACCTCGGAGACCACAGAAGGCGTGACTACCGAGTCGTCTACTACCTGCCTAGATATCAGTGGGGACTTTCCTAAATTCCCCACCCTCGCGAAAAACGATTTGGTCGCCTACTATCCTACTCAAATATTTGAGGCAAGCGACAGCTACGCATCGTACAGCTACTATATCGTAAAAGCGCATCAGCGCCCGCAGTATTGTATTCACAGCAGATGCGACGCAACCCAGGTAGAAACGAGTAAGTTGAAAACGTCCAGCCATGTGCGGTGACTCGTGCGCCCAGTCGTCTCTCATTATGAGAGTAGTTCAACGATGAACGGGTAGCGCCACTCAAACGCGTCCACGGGTGGTCATTATCAGGCGCAGATCCTTTCGCATTGCCAGGCGTTACTGCCTGTATAGCATCGCAATGCAGAGGTATCGGTACTGCATTCGCTGGTTGATATCCTATCACAGGTCCAGGTAGAATGCGTGATCACAGATGGGGGGCGTATTGGTCGGATTACTTTACAGCCTGCGTTGACCGGAAACCCCACAATCATCCCATCTCCCACACCAAAACACGTCTCTGGTAATCAGCGCAAGACAATATTAGGTGACAGGCTGAATGATAGGTCTATACTTGTCTTCTTTGACCGGAATCTTCCAAGCAGACGTGCAAGAAGTTTTCTTGGGGGCATCAAGAGTCCTCACTAAATCTCTTGTAAGCACATTCCTCCCATTCAATTGCTCCAGCGACACTCATGCTTATGGAACCGATTTATTCAAAGTATCCGCTGGACAAGCTCGGAACTGTTCGCTTCCTTCTGCCAGAAACGCGAGGAGAATGCGGCTCCCTTCGCTACCGATTCACAGTACAGTCATTGGATCAGGCTGTACACTATGCCGCACTTTCATACGTCTGGGGCGATCCTAAATGTTGCGGCGCTATCCTCATTGACGGCGTCGTGAGCCACATCACGCAAAATTTACTCTTCGCTCTCGAGAAGATCGACAAGTTACTGGAATTCAACATCAAAGAAAGTAACTCGGGTCCAATTCTACTGTGGGCAGATCAAGTCTGTATTGATCAATTGAACCCGGATGAGCGTGCATCGCAGGTCTCCATGATGGGGACCATTTATTCTCGCGCAGAGCGTGTGTTCGCTTGCTTGGGAGACTCAGACGCTGCAGAAGATGTGGCTTCTATGGTGGAACAGGTTACGTGTCTGATCGAGGGAGACGTCGCTCGATACGATGGACTCTTAAAGATACCTCCAATGGATAGCGAAGGATTAGCCATCTTCGATCGATTCAACTGGGCTGCTTTCCGCGACATGCTGCTCCTGCCATATTTCAGCCGGGTATGGATCATCCAGGAAATCGGCCTTTCCCGGCATGGAGTTGTTCTCTACGGAAACTCTCACTTCACACTAGATCAACTCATGCTGCTACTTGCTTGGCTCTCGCATCCGGGACACAGGATTCGTCAGCTACACGGGCTCTCTGGTTGGACGACACATCAGATCTGGATATCCTTTGACACGGATAAGAGGAACAACACTGCGACATCCGTACCTCTCGACTTTCTCGACATTCTCAGCAACGTCTCGTATAGATACAAGGCCTCGGACTCCCGCGATTACATTTTTGGTCTACTTTGCCACCCGTCAATCAACGTCCAATCTCATGAACGAGTGCCACCCCAGTCGTTGATTATACGCCCAGACTACAGAGCTACCGTGGAGACTGTTTTCCTGGACTTTGCCATATCTTGGCTCAAATATACAAGCAAACCGTACCTCCTCAGCTGTGTCAACCATGCACCAACCATCGCCTGCGAGAAGGTATGCCCCTCAAGTTCAATACCACAACTCGACCTCCCATCGTGGTGTCCACGTTGGGACTACAACCCGCTGGGAGGAACACGGCTCAGTGTTGAGCGAACGAGATCTTGGTACGCAGCTTCCGCAGACTCGTCATTCTGTTTTCGGCTACAATCACGAAATCGACTAGAGGTAAAAGGAATTGTATATGACGAGATCGCCCAGACTTTTCCTAGTCTTGATGAAGTGGTGATTCCCATTGATAGACAGACAAGATCAGATGAGACAGACCTTACTGTCGAGGAACTCTCCATAGCACTGAAGCTGAGCTATTTATGCGGAAGGATCCTCCAATGCATCAGCCTCAAATTCAGTCTTGATGACGAGGATACCATATTCGACTTCGCCTCTACAGTTCTTGCTGGGTCATGGAACTACACAGATACGATAGCAGACAGGGCTGCCCAAGTGGCAAACATCAAAGCAATCTCGGGCATATCAAACAACGGGAACATGCTCGCGATCCCAGACGAATTCACACTCGCCCTCAAAACCCTGCAGTCGCGTTGCGAACACCTGGAACCATTGGGCATCGGAGGAAATACTGCATCATTCGTTAAGAATACCCAATACACGATATCCTCTCGGAGACTATTTCTAACAAAGAGGGGCTGTATCGGACTTGGCTCGACGATCGTTTCCCCCGGTGACATTTGCTGCATCATAGCAGGGGCCAATGTTCCCTATACTTTGAGACCATCGAACCGAGAAACGTACTCGATGATTGGCGAGTGTTATGTTCAAAGTATTATGCATGGGGAAGTGGTAAGAAAACTCGATGAGCAGATGCCGCATTGGTGCGAAGTCCTACTAGAATAAGAAGCATTGATAGAGGTGGCGGTATGAAGCTTACGAATTGTATTCCTGTGATTCAATGCACCCGTCCCCCTCTTCCTATTATCTATGACCAGGGAGCTCGTAGAGTGGTGGCGCGCTCTGCAACTCGGAAGGCGGTGCAAAGACCTCATGCGCTGCATGATAACCAGACTGCTTTTGAGCTGGGGCGCTATCGACGTAAGACACGGCGGGGACTGGCGCAGGAGTTGAAGCAGTCTTGTCTTTCCGGCGTTTTCGAAGGTAGAACACCACTCCCACAATGATGAGGATACCCGCGACCACGAGCCCGACCGTCATTCCGATTATGGTGTTCTTGCCGATGCCCTTGTCTTTTGTATCTTTTACTCCATCTGAGGCCACTGTTGCCAGGGTATCTGTTGATGATGTGGTCGACGAGGGACTTGTTGACGATGTTGTTGGTGGCGAAGAAATCGGGTCTAGCGTGACCGATGAAGTCGACAACGACTAGGACGAAGATGCTTCCGATTCGCTTGTGACACTATTCCGTTTGATATACCAGCTAGTACTCCAAAAGCCATCTATTCTTTGCTCCTCATCGGTGCCCTGGGCGTTGACGACTCTAAAGACAAAGGGGTTGGTCAGGTTGGTTTCTTCCGCGCGTACCTCCCATTGGTATCATTGACTTGCTAGATTGACTGGAAGCCTCATTAGTAGTTTTCGTGATAATCAACGAGCATGCTTGCTTACCAGCGAGCTGCACCGAATTTGCGACCTTGCCTCTTTGGTAAAAGTATAAATTGATGTTTTCGTACGTGGTCGACCATGATATATTGATGCTGGAGCCTTCGCGGAAATCGATCGGGTACGTTACTGGGAAGATGAATCCGCCGTCGCTTGAGTCCTGAGGTTCTGTCCAAATTCTTCCTTCTTCTTCCTGTCTCGGCGAGACATGAGAGGCGAGTAACGTCGAGCTCATGACCCACAGTCTGACGATGAGTCTCCACATAGTTATCTGATACTATGGCAAAAGGGCTAATGGTATGGAAGCGAAAACAAGGGGACACTTAGCGGAAGAGTGCTCTGCACATACGCCTTTGGTTACACCGAGAGCCTAGAGGCGGGAGCCCTCCACCACGTCGCGCCGGTTAAGTGCGCATATCTCCTAGTTTAGTTGTTGAATCCCGTAGGACAGGTGAGCGGTTGGCTGAGATGCATTGTCTGAAGCAAGACGATAATGATGCAGGTCCTTGTCTACTTTCGCCTGCTCGGCTTCCACCAATCACCACTCTGCCCAAACGCCACTGTCTCTGCTGTGCCTCTTCCTGCTCACTCTCAATTTCGCTACTTCCTTTTCGTCTGGAAAGCCATTCAGATCGAATGATATCGGGGAAAGAAGGCCAGTGGTTACTTGTCTGTTGAAATAACGCTAGGGTAGTTGTCTTCTTTGAGAAGGGCACCGGACATGCGTGTGGGTTGGCTTTCGAGTCTGACGCAGCGGTTGATTACATCGGAATGGAGGACCAGAAGCTGACAAGGATTATCAGCGCTAAGCGCCGGACGGGAAGCTCATACTGACACGCGGAGCTGCGGACTGAAGGGGTAAACCCCCAATAAAGTCGACTGAGCTCGTTCCTTTCAACGGGCCCCAATGTACTTGCGTTGAGTGAATGACAATGGCTGCAGGTAGGTCCTGGGGCAACTTCCGACGCAGATATCGAACTGCTATTGCCGCCTTGCTCATCTGTGGCTTCTTCATACACTCATATCGAAGATCGACACCCAGCGCCAGTATATTAAGCCAGCATCAGAGCCCACTGTACTGTCCTCAGAACGCCATCGCGAAGGAAGTATTGGTCGTCCTTCGCACAGGTGCTACCGAGGTGCTCGAGAAGCTGCCGATCCATCTCACTACCGTGTTGCGATGCATTCCAAACTACGCCATCTATTCCGACTTTGAAGAAGAATTTGGGGGACATCATATTCATGACGTTTTCGACGAGCTCGACCAGGATCTAAAAGACTCAGTGCCAGACTTTAAGCTTTACCACCAGCTAAGAACCAAAGGCCGAGATGGTCTCTCCATGGACGGTATCGAACACGATGGAAGTGGCGCATCGGGATCGCTAAGCAACCCTGGCTGGAAACTCGCCAAGTTCAAGTTCCTGCCTATGATAGATAAAGCTCTCCGCCAGATGCCACAAGCAAAATGGTTCGTCTTCGTTGAACTTGACACGTACCTGATGTGGACCAACCTGCTCGACTATCTGTCCCAGTTCGATGCAGAGGCCTCGCATTATATCGGCAAACAAATGTATATTGGCGACGTGCTTTTTGCTCACGGCGGCTCGGGGTTTGTTCTGTCGGCACCAGCAATGAGGAAGGTGATTCGTCATTGGAAATCTCATATGAAAGACTTGAACCAGTACACGATTGAGCAATGGGCCGGAGACATGGTCCTCGGAAAGGCGTTGAAGGATGCTCAAGTATCACTGCTGTGGGCATTTCCTCATTTCCAGGGTGATCCCGTTTCAACGCTCGACCACAACATTACGAAGATCAACAGACAACCGTGGTGCTATCCCGCGATTACATACCATCATATGCCAGGAAATGAGATCGGGTCTCTGTGGGAATTCGAACAAGAGTGGTATCGTAGGGGTCCAAGGAGCGCTCCTCTGAGGCATGCCGATGTGTTCAAGGGATACATATACCCTAGTCTGAGCAAGGAAAGATCGGAGTGGGACAGTTATTCCGTCGGTAAGGCCTTCAGCAATGATGTTTTGAAGGGCGAGGAGGTGCACAGCTCTTTCGAAGCTTGCAAATCGGCATGCGAAAGGAACACGCGCTGTCTGCAGTTCTCCTACCGCCCTTCTAGGTGTCTGGTGTCGAGTGAAGTGCGCTTAGGCCGAGCATCGACATTACAATGCTTAGAGTATTCCACTGCCGCTTCGAGGTGTGAAAAGATGGAGGAGCCGGCGGCGATAACAGGAGGTGCGGTTCGTTCTGGTTGGATCGTGGACAGGTTGGAAGAGTACATGCGTACTATGGATCAGACGTGCGATAATCGGATAGGCTGGATCACTTAGAAGTCACACATTTCGAACGAATCTTGTAGTTGGCTGTGATGTCGGTGGTGGAGCGTTGGTGTCTGATGGCTGGCGATCGTCATGCCGCTGGACCCTTGCTTAGGCAGAGGTTAGCTCCAAACGACGTAACCTGCCGCTCCAACAATCACTTCCAGACCACACACGGCTGCCTAGATATTGCAAGTAGCGGTCGACATCTACACCCAGTTCCAAGACGCTTTCTCCGTCGATTCCCCCTACACTATCCCCTCACGCGCCATGGCTGAGCCAAATCCTGCCCCGCACAGCGAGCGCGACCCCGCAGCGGCGACCGACGCGAACGAAACACGCGACGAAGACAACGACGACCACAAGCCACGCGACAGCAACGGCTGGGACGGGAAGTTGCGGATAGACAAGATGAGCATTGCCGACGAACCACGCGATCCCCATGCGCAGGTGGTGAGCGACCCAGAGGTATCAGACGACGAGGGTCCGCCTCCCGAGCAGCTGGCTGCAGACGAGGATTTGCTGGACGATACACCGGAAGACGAGGACGACATAGAGATCGTGCACTCCAAAGTCTCGGACATGTCGGCGTTACGGTTGGAGAGGTTCAAGCAGATGAAGGTATGCTGTGCTGTGGGTTGTAGATGAGTTTGCCTAACCTCCCAGCGTCTCTGCCTACGCCAAAACCGCATAGAAAGCATCGCGATACCCGACGAAGTCGCGCCGACTCTCACAGAAGTCGACCTCTACGACAACCTCATAGCGCACATCAAAGGCCTCGATGCCTTCACCGAACTCACCTCGCTCGACCTCTCCTTCAACAAGATTAAGCACATCAAACGCCTGAACCACATGACAAAGCTCAAGGATCTGTACTTTGTGCAGAACAAGATCAGCAAGATAGAAAACCTAGAAGGGCTTTCCAACCTGCGGCAGATCGAGCTCGGCGCGAACAGGGTACGCGAGATTGAAGGACTGGAAACGCTGACGGGCTTGGAAGAGCTGTGGCTGGGCAAGAACAAGATCACCGAGATCAAGGGCCTAGACACCCTCACCAACCTCAAGATTCTCAGCATTCAGTCGAATCGCCTGCGCTCGATAACGGGTCTGGAGAAGCTCGTCAACCTCGAAGAGCTGCACATCTCGCACAACCTCCTCACAGAACTTTCAGGTCTGGAGAACAACGTCAACCTGAACGTCATCGACATCAGCGCGAACCCGATCGAACATCTATCGGGACTGAATGGTCTCAAGCACCTCACTGAGTTCTGGGCAAGTAACTGCAAGTTGAGCGACTTTGGAGAGGTCGAGAAGGAGTTGAGAAATAAGGAAGAGCTGGAGACGGTCTACTTCGAGGGCAACCCTCTTCAACGGGCACAACCGGCGCTATACAGGAACAAGATTCGGTTAGCGTTACCCCAGGTTGTACAGATCGATGCCAGTAAGTTCAAACCCCTCAATGTCTCAGAACAGACGTTGACCTTGCAACAGCATTCGTGAAGCAAGTATAGGCGACCAAGCGGGATTGAAGATCAAACTGCAAAGGTGAACAAGGCATTTACACGGCGCACTAGGAAGAAGCTGCAGGCGTTCAGGCAAGCACACATCTAGCGTGGCGATATGGTGGTGATACCCTATGAATGCATGGTATTGTTGGCTATAGCCGAGGCTTGTACTTATGATGTGAACTAATATATCTAGTCCATGTCTTGCCGGTCTCGGATCTCAAGCCGTGACCACAGTCAGATAAACATGCGGTCTGCAGCATTCCCATCAACCGTATTCTTCCCGCGCCGCACCGTGCCGCCCCCGGTTTCAACGCTAATACTTTATCCGCTGTATAGGAATCCTTCGGTCCTGCATACAGTGGGTCTCTTTTTCGCGGAGACAATACCCCATCTAGCTCCAGTCCAACGGCTTTCACATCGCCTAGCTTGCTTCGCTCAAGGGTTCATGCCGTGCTTTCGGGATGTTTCGAGAGGCGTGTTGGCTGTGGATGCAACCGAACCGCGGCGAGCGTTGTCCAAGACTTGGCTTGCGCTGCACGAACAAGGTTATTTGGACGCAAAATTTGGATACCTCTGTCTGGAGATGCAAGTGAACTTTGAGCGGGTGGCAGCTCCGTAATCAAGTGGGTGGCAAGCTCCACTCGTACAGTGGCTACTCTATTCATGGAGGTGTACTTGCAATCGCTGTTCCTACACACTCTCGATTCGATATACGGATTCTTATCGCGGCTCGATTCCTGGAATCATGGTTTTCTTGGGCGTTGGCGTGCTCTTTGTGGCCTCCGCCGCCGCCAGATTCGCGCCTCGCTCTGCGGAACCCCCCATGCGTCTTGCCAATCGCCAGTCAGGAAACGTGGCGAACATCAAGCAAACAGCTGATGGGGCAATTCCCCGTTTCGAATGGGAACAGTCATTCTTGACGGATGCGACCCTCGAGGAAGCATTGACCTCGGTATCAGCCGACGCAAGGTCGCTTTTCCAGTTTGCTTCGCACAATATTGCCAGCGACTCCGTCCCTGAGACAGAGAGTACTTTCAACAGCCGCGAATGCAAGGTATTACCTGGCGATGAAGATTGGCCGGCGGACGCGAGCTGGTCGGCGCTCAACGATATAACCAATGGTGCTCTACTGAAGCCTCTTCCCCAAGCACATGTTTGCTACAACACTAGCCTGGCTGGTGCAGACCAGAGCGCTTGCGATGCCATGACCAAGTCGTGGACTGATCCGTTCTCCCAGTATGTAGCCTTTGAAATCCATCTCCACATACCTAGGTAGCCATCGACTAACGTACATGAACAGGCTCGACGACCCACTTGAGATGCTAAGTCCGATGTACCAGGGTAGTACATGCCAACCACCTCAGCTCTACGATAGTAAGGAGTGCACCCAAGGAGGATACTCTCTCTACGTCGTAAATGCCTCGACTACCGCTCAGATCCAGCTGGCGCTTAACTTCGCGCGGAACACAGGCGTTCGCTTTGTAGTCCGAAATACAGGTCACGATTTTGCGGTAAGTGCTTCATCCATACCCAATCTTCCAATCGCTGATAGCTCTTAGGGCAAGAGCGGTGGTGCTGGCTCTCTTAGCGTATGGACTCATGGATTGAAAGACATTGCATTCCTCGATAACTACGAGTCTGAAGATTACAATGGACCGGCTATGAAGGCTGGCGCAGGTGCGCAAGGCTTTGAGCTTTACGCTGCTGCGAGAGATTTCGGTGGCACAGTCCTTGGCGGTGAATGTCAGTACCCACTATCTAGACATGTTTTGGGATATATGCTGACTTTTCTTGTGATACAGGCCCTACTGTTGGCGCAATGGGTGGGTGGATCCAAGGTGGCGGCCACTCACCTTTGTCCGGCCACCTAGGCTTAGGCGCTGACCATGTGCTTTCCATGGAGGTCGTCTTATCAGACGGTCGTTACGTGACTGCTGACAAGAACAATAACCCCGAGCTGTTCTGGTCATTACGCGGTGGTGGCGGTCTGACTTTCGGTGTCGTAACCTCCGTCACCGTCAAGGTACATCCAGACCAACCCATTGCCTCCGCCAACTGGGTTGTCACCACAGGCAAGAACGTCAGCACCGAAGCCTTCAAGCAAGGACTCAAAGCCTACATGAAATATTTCCCACAGAACGCTGATAACAACACTTACGCCTACTGGAAAGTATTCCCGGGCCCCGATTCTATCATGATGGATATGTCGCCTTTCTTCGCTCCCGGCAAGAGCGTCGAAGAAGCCAAAGCTCTGGTCGACCCTTGGGTAAAAGACATGGCCGCACTTGGGATCACTGTCGAGCCCGAATGGACGCAGTACAATGGCTTCTACGACGCGTACAACGGCTCTTTCCCCGTGGAGGCCGTTAATAGTAATGGTGTAGCCACTACCTCGCGCATGATCCCCCGTTCCAACTGGGCCAACGAATCAATCTTCAACGAGACTTTCGAAGCCCTCTGGCAAGCCGTCGACGAAGGTATGGCGCTGATCGGCTACAACATGGCGCCATCATGGGAGAAAGGCGGACGCCCTGACAACTCTGTCAATCCAGCTTGGAGAAACATGCTCGGTTTCATCATTACTGGGACTGTGCTGAACATGACGAATCCAGCTGCGGAGATTGTCGAAGAGCGCCTCAACATGACTTATGGCGTTATGCAGAAGTGCCGCGATCTCACGCCCGGCTCCGGTTCGTACCTCTCCGAGGGAGATCGCCTTGAGCCGAACTTTCAGTGGTCGTTCTGGGGTAGCTTCTACCCGCGTCTCTTGGAGGCGAAGCGCAAGTTTGATCCGTTTAATCTCTTCTGGGCTACTGGGGCAGTGGGCAGTGAGTTCTTCAATGTGCGTAGCGTTGACGGTTTGCCGAATGAGAACGGAAGGCTTTGCGTCCACCCGCAGCCCACGCTCTACCAGGCTGAGGGTCCAGACTGGGTTCCAGAGTAGATAGATGGTGTTATAATGACCGAATGTGTATAGATCCGAGATTAAGGGGGTCTCACTTTTTGCTGATAGGAAATACCATCGAGGCTTATGAGCCGACGGACGCCCGAAGAAGTTGAACACATTGAAGGCTTTGCTTTTTTTCTTGGCAACGAAGTACATTACTAGCGTCGATCAGGTGTAAGGTATCGTCTTGATGATAATGGTCTACATTGAGAGAATCGTCTCTTATACTGTCTAGGTATCATATGCACATGCCACGTCAACCTCGTCCAGGGCCAGTAAATGCTTCTTCCCTAACTACATAACCTTCCTGTTGTTTCCATCCGATCCCAACTCCAAAATCAGACCATCCAAGTTCGAGCGTTGAATATTTCCTTTGTGAATGTAACGGCGTCTTGCTTAGCATCATCGTTCATGAACAGCCGAGTGGCTGCACTCAGAAGCTTGGGTTGCCGTTGATCTTAAGGCCGCTCACACCGTTGGCAATGCCTTCCGCATCAAGTCCATTCGTCACGCCACTTTGGTAGTCGCGAGTGATCTCGTCGAGCATACCAGCGCTAGCAGCGACGAAACCCAAGTAGGGTCTGCTCGGGTCCAGGACGCGGGACAGATATTCCGGGTGGAACTGGACACCAACGAACCAGGGATGGTCCTTGATTTCGATAACCTCCATACGTACACCAGCTTCATCTTTGCCGACAAAGCTCAGACCGCCCTTCTCAAGCGTCTCAATGTAGTCAGGGTTGACCTCATATCGGTGACGGTGGCGCTCTAGAATTTCCTCCTTGCCGGCGTACAAAGCGCGGAGACGAGACCACTCGCTGCCTGGTTGGAAGAGTGTGGGACGGAGACCGAGACGCATGGATGCGCCCATGGTGCTCTTATCTACCTCTGGCATGAACATGATGAGCTTGTTCTGCGCCTCGCCGTTGAATTCCTCGGAGGTTGCGTCCTTGATGCCGCAAACGTTACGAGCGTACTCAATAACGGCAATCTGCATGCCGAGGCAGATACCAAGATATGGCTTCTTATGCTCACGCGCCCAGGTGGCCGCTGAAATCATACCTTCTGTGGCACGTTGACCGAAGCCACCCGGTACCAGGATACCTGATGCCTTGACGACCTCGTGCCAAGCGTTGTGGTACTTTGCAGGGTCTGTCTTCTGACACTTGGGCTCCAGATGGTCCGAGTCGACCCAGCGAATGTCCAGCTTCCTCTTGCACCGCATCGTAGCGTGTTCCAACGATTTGATGACTGACAGGTATGAGTCCTGGAGCTCCACGTACTTTCCGACAAGTGCGATCGTGACCGGGTCGTGGAAACGAGTGTCGTGGCCAGTGAGCAACTGCCATTGCGCCCAGGTATGGTTGCCCTTTTGCAGCATTGACGCTGAGACTGAAACTTGCTCGAGAGCAAGGAATTGGCGTACCATCGGAATCAGTCTTTGTTGTTCGAGAAGCATCGGTACTTGGTAGATGGATGGCATGTCACGGACAACAAGGACTTGTTCGTTCTCGACCTGGCAAAAGTGGGCGATCTTCTCGACAGCGGAGGCTTCAAGTTCGCGCTCGCAGCGGCAGGCAATCTATTACTGTCAGTCATCCAAAGTAACGGCTAACGTGAAAGGCTCGACATACCAAATCTGGGATCAGACCGTTACTCCTCACCGCCTTGATAGCCTGCTGCGTAGGCTTCGTCTTCTGCTCGCCGTGGATAACCGGGACATACGAGACGTGAATCTGCATGAAGTTGTTTCTGCCCGCACGCCTCCTCAGCTGGCTCATAGCCTCAATGAAGGGCATGCTCTCGATGTCGCCCACGGTTCCTCCCAGCTCGATTATGCAGACGTCCGGCTCCTCGCCTGAGTCATCGACGGGTATCCGCGAGACCTTCTCGATCCAATCTTGAATCGCATCGGTGATGTGTGGGACGACTTGTACGGTTTTACCCAGGTAGTCGCCCTTGCGCTCGCGTTCGATAACGTGCTGGTAGATCTTGCCAGTGGTGATGTTGTTGTCGCGGGTGAGGGTGATGTTGAGGTAGCGCTCGTAGTTGCCAAGATCGAGGTCAACTTCGCCGCCGTCGGAGAGGACGAATACTTCGCCATGCCTGGTTTTTTTTAGTCTATATTCACGGTACGGTTGGTGAAGCCTACTCCTTCGGGTTCATAGTTCCCGCATCGACATTGAGGTACGGGTCGACCTTGATCGACGAGACGTGCTGAGACGTCAGTATGTTTGGTAAAACGCGTCAGTCCATTGCACTTATCTTGAGGCCGATTGTCTTGAGGAGAAGTCCTGTAGAGGAGGCTGCGACGCGTCAATCAGCTACAGCACGCAAAATAAGATCCTGGCGTAGAAGATGATGTACAGTGGTGCACTTCGGCTACACACTGATAGCGATGGTCTCATAAAGGCTGGTATGCTCTCATGAAAGTCAAACTTCGCGTGGAGCGTCATAGATGCGCGACACTTCTGGCCCATGTCAAATAGCTTACCTATGATACCCTGTGTGTACGCGTTAGTGGTGATCAAAGGCGCGGCAACCTGCAGCTTACCTTCCCCACGCCGCTGATGACGCCGCCAGACACAAGCACGTACTTCATGATGCTGTTTGGTGCCTCAATCGGTTATGGGGAAGGGGAGGGAAGGAAGAAAAGTCGAGATTTCGCACGCGTTAACTTTGAAAGAAAATCGGCGCATGGACCCTCTAGCGGGGCAGATCCGCCCGCACTAGCGCCCTCTCGAGGCTTGAGGCTTGCGACCATGATCCTGCAGCGAATCTTAATCCGAAGCTTCATTTCCTGAGAAAAACCGTCTCAAGCCCAGTGTCTTCTTATATTAATTTCAAATACGAGCTATCAAATGGTATCGTGCTCCCGTCCGTCGAATATCAAATGCATTACAATGTGACCGCCTCACCGAGTCTTCAGACCCCTCCTGTGTTGTATAAACGCCATGCAAACGTTCTCAACGCTGGCAACTTTGGAACTAAAATGAAACGTCCGAGGGGAATAGGGTTCGTTCATCATGTCGTCAAGATGCAAATCGGTATCTGCAAAAGATGCTCCAGATAACCCAAATAATAACCCACATCGCCCGCTGTAGATGATGCTCATGAAAATGTAGATGCCTGAGAGGTGTGGCGAGTTTGTCATTCTCTGCGCCGTCGCTTCAGCTCGTCCTCTTCCGTATTGTCGTGTTCTTGGCTCGCGGTGAGTCGTTTGCGTGCCAGTGCCTTTTCATTGCCCTTCTTCACTTGGATATTGCACCCTTGTAACTTCAATGCCCGGGTGAGCGCGCTGCTTGGTCGCATACCCGGAAAGTCTTTGGCTGTGTAGACTGTGAAGACATCGCTCAAGACCTCGGTGAGTATGGGCGAGAACCCTCCCACGTGGAGGTTCATAGGATCGATGCGCATGAGGACGAACCGGAGTCGGTACTTGCCATGTGTACGGCAAGAGAGGTCTGGAAAGCAGAAAAAGCAACCCTCGGCGTCATGCTCATCCTTTGCTACAGACGGAGAAGCTACGAGCTGGCCCATTAGTCGTCGCGTTGTCCGTCGGTCAGGCTGTATGAGTGCCGTCTCTTCGTTCGTCCCTTCTGCGTTCCAGAGCGTGCAATGAACCACGTTGAGCGAGTAACGAAGCTCTTCTTGTTCAGCAGCACCGGTCTTCGGATCCGTTACTAGTAGCTGGATGATTGGCGGAGGGTCAATCACCCTGCGGTCGCGTTCTCCGAACCCACATGCTCGCGCGGCGATGGGTTGTTGTCGCACACGAAGCTCGTAGTTTAGATTCCTATCTGTGTCAGTCAACGTTGACCTACCCAGGCGGGAGGTGTTCCTACAGTTGTTCGTTGTACACAGGCTGTGGTATCGAACCCGGCAACGGAATTGCTCGATGCTGTTTCTGGGGCGGAGGGGCTGTCGCGGGGGTCTCTGAATACGAAATAGATCCCAATGGGGCTGCTAAAGAGCCGCGATGTGATTGTGAGTGCTGATGGGAACCGACGGACCCGCGGAATGGAGTGCTACTTGATGCATAGCTTGGTGTGTACCCAGGCGAGGGCAGTGGAGGGTAGGCTCTTTGCTGCGAGGCTTCTACTGGTGAAGTGAGGGATGAGTAGGGCTGCTCGTGGTGTTGGCTGTGGGGTTGGTTGGGGTGATAGTGGCGGGGCTCCTCGTACGGGTACCGGTGTTCAGTTAGTCTTCGCGGGCCTCTGCTGTCAAACTCGGAACGTGGTGAGATGGGGGGACCATATTGCTGGGGAGAATACGGTGGGTCTGATCTAGGTGGGGTGTAAGGATTCGAGTGCTGCAGTAGCTTCTCGACGGGGGCTGCTGATCTATGTAACGAGGACGGCTGAGGGTAGTCGTGTCGTGGGGGCAGTCCAGCATGGATCGAGGGTAGTTGATTGATGGGGGAGCGGAACTGGTGATCCGGGCGTGGTGGTACAGCGTCTGGCGGGATCTCCAGCGGGGGCAGTCGGCGATGGGAGTAGTCGAGAAAGCCAGGGGGCGAAAATATGGGAAGTTTCTGGGTCTCGGTCATATCTGGAGCAGGACGAGAAGATGTTGTCAGAGGGAGCGACGGCGGCGGAGGTGGAGGTGGTTGGGACATGCGTGTATTATTATTTGGTCGGGCCAGGACACGATGCACGAAGCCGCATTGGGATGAGGGTTGTGTTCAGTTCGGAGGCTCTTTTCAAATTGGGAGCAACGGGTCGTGGTGCAGTGTTGGACAAGACGTCAGGAGTGGGAGCACTGCCTCGATTGTGGCGGCGTGAGTAGTTTATAGTTGACGGTTCCCTGTAGTCAACCCTGTAGGTATCTGGATCGCCAGCAGCCAGATCGACGGTCGGATGCTTGGATTCAGCAATGGCGACGTTGAAGTGGAGGCGCTCAGACGCCTTAAAACAACGGGCGCCCGGGAAGGGGAAAGGATGCAGACGGGGGTGGGCCCGCAGCACCCTGTTCACTCGCAAGCCTCACGCCAACCGTCAAGAGTAGCCGGCTCGGAGCATAAATTTCAACAAGGACAGCGATAAGTGCAGCGATGGGAGGGCGGATCCGAGCTTGGCGGTGCGGTGCTAGTCCCCAGGTTTCTGACGTGGGCTGGGTGCAAGCGATATGAAGGCCGGGAGATGGGCACTGCTCGCAGGTGACGGAGTGGGGACATGTCATGGCCGACTGGCATGATCAAATGATGGTGATGGCGTCTGGCTGGTGCATGTGGCCTCAGCGGGCGCCATGCAGCAGGAAACTTTGGGAAGTCTAGCTCAGTGAACTGGCTTCGCAGTATTTTCGTGGGGCGTCAGTTGCAGGCTGGCGGCCGGGTAAAAGGTCGACAAACAACGGCGTCCCGGTTTCGCAGGCACGTCTGTTTCGAATCAAGGCGGGCCAGGGTGTTGCACACTGTAACCCGGCGGCAGCCAATATGGAGCAATATGCCAGATATCACGTAACTCGGTCGGTGGGCGCTGGCGGGCGACGCTTTCGGCGAGGGTCCAGATGGAGGTCAGGAGTGGCTGCAGCGCGAACCTGGGAACGGCCTGGAGGCCCATCTGTCAGCGGGCTGGGCGAATGGCGAGGCTGCAGCGGTGCGGCTAAAAGCGATCTGCCCTGCGACGCCTTTCTTGTCCGTCTCCGCGCACCCACTTGGGCTGGTGAACCCAGTCAGGACGGCTACCGGGCTTTTGGAAGACGGCTGCCGTCGCATGCGCCCATCCAGCAGTGACATGAGACAAAGCCTCCGCACCTGGCTATCGGACTCGATGGGCAACGGGCACGGCCGCTTATGTTGGTCGGTGGCTTGCGCTTGACCGCGGTGGGCGACCGTTGTCGTTAACAGCAGACAATTAAGAGACGCAGTATCGCTGCCATGGCGGCGACACGAATCACGGCCCTTCGCTTGCGGCGCACCTGGGCAACCTCTCCAGGGCTGGAGAGAGTGGGAGGATATTGCAGACCATGGGGACAAACCCCATGACGCCCAAGTTGGACATGGGACGGCAGTTGTCGTCTATCTGTCTATCTGTCTACCACTCTACCACTACCAGACTACACTCTACCACTCTACCAGTCTATCACTGTCTCGCGTGGTCTACTCCACATCAGACGGCAGTTGACCATTTAGAGTACCAGCTGGATTGTCAGAGTAACAGCTGGATTGCCCGAGTAACAGCGTTGCAACGGCGCTAGCGCCTCTTTTATTGCCTCTGCTCAGTCTGATATTGCGCCCGCACGTCCAGCACGAGCGTACCTGCGTGTGTGCGCGCGCCCTAGGCTAGCCGCCTCCGCCGTGTGCTACCTCAGGCGGACGCATGTCTACTTTGACACACTCGTCCTCTGCTACCCCTCACCACCCATCGCGACGACGCTGCCCTCGGTGAGCGAGTCCGCCAATTGCTCTCCCTGGCACGTGTCGCAGCCAATCGTCCGCCCGGGCACCTGCCGTCTCTGCCCTCTACTCTACGCGACCACCCAACCGCCGCCCACGCCTCCCTCACCGCCCCGTCGTCGCCCACAGCTGCGACTCTGCAGACTCCTCTGAATCACGTCGCCACTCGATCGACACGCTGCCCGCATGGCTGCTCAGTTCGGCAACTACGTGGGTACGTGCGAGGCCACCTCACCCAGACGGGCTGTGGGCGTTCTGACGTGCCCTCTACCGTGGCTCAAAGCGGCCTCTGCTCGGCAATTGCTGCCCTGCCTCGATTCGTGCTGACGGCCTGCAGACTATAGTGGGGCCAAGCCTCCTGCCTCAGCGACTCACGTTCGCGACCCACGTCTGCACATCCTGGCGGCGACGATTCCGGAGATCTTCGCCAACAAGCACATTCTCGACATCGGCTGCAATGCTGGCAGCGTTTCGATCCAACTAGGTAAGTCCAGGAAGGATACCCCTGCCACTTGCTGCAACCGACTATTACCACCATCGACGAGATATTGATCAACTGCAGCCCTCGATTTCCACGCGGCTGCCGTCACTGGCGTCGATATCGATCCCAAGCTGATTGCCCAGGCCGAGAAGCTCCTGGCCTTGCGCGCTTCCCGTGCAACACCCCCCACGAGTTGCGACCCACCCGTCGTCGACTACTTTCCCATGTCGGCCGTGCTCACTTATGGCTACCGGATTGAACCGCACCGCAAGCCTGTCCACACGTCTTCCGCTGCGTCAGCTGCCTGGCCGCGTGTAACCTTCTTTTCTGCAGATTGGGTCCTGCCCTCTGACCAAGATGCTACCGACTCATACCATGTCATCCTGGCATTATCCGTCATTAAATGGATCCACCTCAAACATGGAGACGCTGGTCTGACGACGTTTTTCACAAAGTGCTCATCGTCTTTGAAACCGGGCGGCTACCTAGTCATCGAGCTCCAGACCTGGGACTCATATCAAAAGGCCATTCGCCCCAATCATGCTCCGCATTTCCACGAGACCCTCAAGGAGCTGCAACTACGGCCAGAGACATCGTTTGACACTCTCCTTGCCAATCACGGTCTGCACCTCTGCGCTTCGTCGGACGCACTCCCTCGTCGCATCAATGTCTATCAAAAGGCCTAAGAGCGGTTGGTAGACATATTGGTAGGGATTGACAGTCTTCCACTAGCATCACGTTTCATGGCGTTCGGGTTCCAGTCTCTAGTATCGGGATTTACCATCTCGTCTCGCTCGGGAGACGTTGCAAGTCATCCATGGCATTATTCACGTTGACTAATCTCTACACTCGTGCCGCTGCAGCATCTACCGCACCTGGCTCTCCCATTCTATTAATCAAGGTACATATGTTAGATTGAACTCGCTATCCAGGCAAGTAGAAAAGTATCCCAATCCGCGGCTAGTTACTACAAACGGCTGGTCTGCGCTCCACTTTCTTGGTCTTCTCTCCGAGGCTGTTCCCTGTCCGCCGATCTTTGGCCCTCACCATCCCAGGTTCTATCAAGCCATGCATCGTACGATTGCGGCAGCTATGCAAGTAAAGATCGGCCGAATAACAGGCTTTTCAAACTTCCGGCCTCGATGTCCGCCTCAGTAGTGAGGCATGCAGCTACAACCTAATTGTGATTGCAGCCATGGCTCCGCAAACGTCTCTGGCGGGCCACGGTAGAGTAGTGAGGTTGCGACATTTGCATTAGCCGCGTTACTACACAACCCGCCACGCTAGCCAATGGCGGCTCGGAAGCTTTTCGGCTTATGCCGGGTACCCATCCTCTGGTTCTCCAGACATTAGATCACATGTCGTCCACTAATGCAAACCTTATTTCACTCCGGATCTCGTGCAGGCCGAGGTTTTCTGCTTATGCTGTTCAATAGTATATCTACTACCAGCCGTGCTATCCTCCTCGTAACGTCATTTCAGATGGCCGGCTCTAGATGTTTCGACAACTGATGATCGCTCACCGGTCCGTACATTGTGACAAAGTCTAGATGACAGGAGCGTAGGTTCGCCGACTCCATGGCAACATGGTTTAACCTAGCCGCCACTGACCGCTTATGAGCTGTCACAGAACGTGAAATTGCCAAACTCTCGTTGACGATATGATTGCTGATGCTGTGAAAGATGAGATATGACGTTGCATTTTCGTCAGAGAGCACCAATTCCCCGTCTGTACCATCTCAAACAGGTAAATCCCTCGAATTTCACGCTTTGGTCCCTGAAGCCTTGAGAGGACGGCGCAAAGGTTCGAGCGCTTGGTTTCCCTCGTCAGTCGTAGATTCACCTTAGCTCGCACCTTGCGAACCACGTCGACTGTTGAGGAGCTCACTGGGAGATTATGCCACACCAAGTACAAAGCTTGATGGAGTGGCTCAGTTACCTCTGGACCAGTGCTGCACGATGTCTTGCCCACTGGGTGCCATCTCATCAGCATCTCGTTCGAGAACCAGGGACAGGCCCTATGCTTTGTAAATTGAGCTACTGGCTCCCGGTTGATGCGAACTGGCGACTCGGTTGTCGATCCGTCAGAGCGGTAGGCTCATTCGACATAGTCTACAGATCTTGAGAGGTGCTCAATCTCGCAGGTGAAGTTGGCCCTCACGAAAACCCAATGCATTAGCTGGAACACAGCCAAGTCGTTATCCTGTTTTTACCGCATCTACATGGCCGCACAGCTTCGGTAGCTTGGTTTCTCTGAAAGCCGTGCCATGGAACGCCAGTGCAGTATCTGGCCAGTGTCCCGTCCACTGCGGCGATTCAAGCAGACATGATCTTGTCGTTGGTGTGGGAACAAGTCCGATGATGCGCTCCCCTGCAGACCAGGCAGACTTGCGACTACTGTTGTCAGCAAGCATACGCCTATCGGGATGCAGCATCATTGCTTGCTTGGTCGCACGACAGCCAATACACTCACCAATGGATGCATCGGCAGTTTTTCTCTAGCCGAGAGGGTGAATCACAGTATATACTGTCGTGTCGTGCGTGAAAGCGTCGACTCTGCTAGCCAATGACGATGCGATGCTGCCATCGTGAACGGTGTCGAGATTTGCGATCAACAGTTCGCCCAATATCTACAGCGTCAAAACGATATGCAATTGCGCTTGAAAGATTGACCACTAACGGGAACGCCCTGCGTAGGTATACAAGGAGGACGACCGAGGGATGTCGACTAAACGGGGCGGCCATTGATGGACAACGCATCCACAGATAGCTGCTTCGTGGACACACCACATACCGCACAGCAGCGCGTTGCACAAGTGATGCTGCCCAAGAACATGTCGTGAGCTGGCTCGAGTGACAACAAAGCTCCTGCACCCTGCGCTTATCTCCTCGACGCGATCCGCCGACAACGATATGGAGTTGCAGGATATCGATGACGTTGAAGAGTCGCCATTGAGGTGCAGCATGTCGAGCAAGGCCTACTGTCGTCAGTCGTCATCACAGCTTCTCATGTCGTTTCAATTTCCACGCCCGTTGCTGTTGTCATGTGTCGCCGTTCGCTCTTGCCGTCTTCGGAGCACGTCTCGCAGCTGCCTCGATTACGTAGGCCAGACAAGCCCAATGACAGCGAGGGTTCGTGCAGTTACCAGGGGCCATGCAGAACATAGTTCCTGTCGTGGAACCCTCCAGCACATCGCTCTTGCCTTGCCACGAACACTTGCATTCTGCCCCCGATACACGAAATCCACGTCGGCTAGTATTCTGGAGGAATGCGCTGCAGGGAGCTCGAAACGACCGTTGCCCGCGTCGCGTCGACGTGTTCAGACGAGAGCTTTTCGATGCTCCAGGTCGGCGGTGCGCGGGCTTGAGAAATAGCTTTTGGCCACCTCACCTTGCCGCATCGGAGACTTTTGTACCTTCAACAAATGCTCTTTCTCTCCTCCCCTGGGCCTCGCAGGGACCGACGCAAAATGATGCTAGCGACAGGTTGATCCCCGCCTCTGGAATGCGATGGCAATGATGTGTAGCTGCTGGAGCGTCTGCAGTGGCGGCACCTCTCAGCTTGGATGGACGTCCACTTGCAACTAGGCGGGAAGCCAAGCACTGCACCAGTCGGGCTATATAACCATCAAGCAGCGTCGAGGTAGGTCTCACGCGAGACCTGTCGTCACTCCTGACCTGTGTACCGGCCCATGATTCAAGCAGCATAGCTTGCGCCGGAACTCCAGGCTGAGCCGAACAAAAACAACCATCTTCTTCCCTCAGCAGCGCCAGCGAGGTAAGCTCCAGAACCGCGCGTAGCATCAATGCGTCAGCACGTGTCCTGTTCACACCACAGCTGGGGGAGGCGTAAACGAGCGGGCGTCGTATACGGCGCTTAGGGGCATGGAACGGTTTGGTGCTGACCGTGCGATAGGCTTCCTTGACGAGTCTCGCGCGGGCGCTTCTCACGATCCCTCATGCAGATCTCTGGCTATTTGACATCCTGCCGAAGTCAGACGTAAGCTGGATCCTTGCTTTTGCCAAAGCGAATGACCATCCGAGCTTGGTCACACAGAGCTAGACAACACTCAACACGATTCGGCATCTTGCCGGAGCTACGGGATCCACCACCTATACATACGCCATCAAAATCACTCGTAGAACAGAGCAGAGCCACGCCGAGCGCTCATCTCCGCCGACCGACCGCGAGCGCATCGAGCGCATCACCGACGATATGCCACCCGCGAGCGACTCCTTCATGCCCCTCAACATTGAAGACGACGTCGTGCCAGAATGGCTGGATTCCTTTACTCTGGTTGCGCCCCCAAACACCGATCTATGGAGAAGGCCATCTTCGGGCGACATCTCAACCGCTCCCATGCTCTACACTGCCTTGAGCAATCCCTTCATCGTAGCAGAAGTCACGGTCAAGGGAGACTGGCAGCTTGAATGGGATCAAGGAGGGCTGGTAATATTCGCAGGCGCACCGCCAGGACAGACAGCGACGGCATCAACAACCGCAACGCCGACATTGCAGGTCCCAGATGTTGCAAACATCCGGTTGGACGACAGCGCGACGCCGAGCTCCGCCATCTCACTCTCGCAAACCTCAAGTAATGAGAATGTTGAAAGCTGCGACACGACAGCTTCACACAGCCCAACAGACGAGTCAGGACCCAGCCCCCAACTAGAACGTGGGCCCCCACCACCATACGACGCTCCTGCGCCAGCACCCAAGTGGGTGAAAGTCGGGCTTGAGTTCTGCGGCAACGTATGCCACGCTACAGCTGTAGCCGCCAATAGTGAAGGTGCCGATTGGTCTTTGAGTTCGCTTCCTCCGCTTCAACAACGGCTCAAGGAACTGCGCGTCAAGATGGAGCGCATCGGCTACGCGCTGTGGGTGTCGTACGAGGAAGAACCGGGGATTTGGAGGAAATTGAGAGAAGTCACTTGGTTCTTCTGGGGTGTAGAAGACAAGGCCGTACGCGTTGGCGTCTACGCGAGTCGACCTGCAAACTTTGGCATCACCATGTGGGATCACAGACACCGTGTGGGACTCAGCAACGAACAGCGAAATTTATACGTCGAATTTGAAGATCTGGAAATCCACTAACCAGGCTCGTCGCCTTGTTTATTTCTGTCGGCCTATCATTGCATGCAGCGGCTGTTCGTGCAGCCCAGGATCACGAGCAGATGCTCTCTTTGCTTCACACATCCCTAGCATGTCTACATCTCTAATCGTCTCTTCGGCCCCTACTTCGTAATCAGTTTTGAGTTTCGGTTCTATGTACCTATTCGCTTTTGGCCGTTCGCGGCGTTGCCTCGGCGCTTGCCACCATCTTCAGCTCATCGCAACGTCGCATCCATCTGTGGCGACAATACCTGCACTGCAACTTCTCGCATACATATAGGGCTTATTTTACTGTAATCGCCTCTTTTTCTCACGGATGACGGATCATATTAAGCGCAGACCTGTAATCCTGTTCTCGGCTCCGTTATTACATTTAGTTTTGCTTGCCATCTACCATCTATCTATTTATATATTAACACAATTATTCGGTATCTATGTCTACACGCTGCAATGTGCGGTTCTCAGTCCGACCTGGACCTCGCGTAAGAACGTGGGTCGGATGCGCGTTGCATATGGGATGGTGATGATCGGTACTCAGGTGAAGCTGGCGCGTTTGGTGTCGGGTCTTCACGCCGCCCCGGTGCCCTTCAATAACGATGTACACTCAGCACACTGAAGTGTCAACGGAGGAGAGAAGTCACAGTCTCGGTTAATTCAAGTACTTGAATGGCAGGCCCAAACGATGCGTGCAAACGACAAAGCTGATGTTGATTCTCACAACTTTGAGACACATACTACTTCCACGACGAGTACCACGGAGTTACGGATACAATCCATGGCCAATCCCCTCTAAGTGTTCACAGAGAATAAACCTAAATGTTCTGCTCGCTTTGAGGAGCTACCTACTCGATCCTTCCCGGTTGGCTGGTCTTCCGCCCAGAACCTCGTACTAGGGAATAACGATGTTGCTTGTCTATATTCTGTTGTGCCTTGCGTATCATGCAGCTTGTGGATACGGCCATACCATGAAGGGTCGTCAGGCAGAGTATACTATGACCAACGACGCTCACGGGAGCTACACCACAGCATCGTTGGTAGAAAGAACGACTTCCTTCCCTGCATCTTCATCCAATGCGGCCAGCACTCAGATGTCTAGCCTTCAGCCATCTCAGTCCGTACTACCGGCCAGAGTGCCCCCCACAGTTGCCTGCTGGGCGACACCGTACTGCGATTCTATCCTCGTGGACTTTGCGCACTGCTACAATATCTCTGGAACGCTGAAAAGTCCCAATGGCGACGATGGACGAAGCGAAGTTTACCAGCGTTGTCTCTGCAACGACCGAGGAACTATGTACAAAGAGTAAGCGTCCCTCGAACCACCTCCCTCTCTGGCTTCCTCTAACCGAACAAACAGCATCCTCACGAACTACCAAGCGCAAAACACAGACAACGTAACGCAGTGCTACGCATGCATGAAGCAAGCCGGCATCGAAGTAGACAAGAACAGTGAACCCAGCCTACAAATGAGGTACAAGATCCATAATTTCTGCAACACCGCAGTTCCGAACCTGTACGATTTACTCGCTCTATTCCTCGTCTGGCTCAAGTCCACCGACGAGCCCGTGGACAACAACACCGAGCTGGGCAACATACCGTCGATATCTACTCTGGCCGATCGCTTCACAAAGACAGATGTAAATCAAGCTACTACAACGGTAGCCAGCTCGGCTCGGAACACGGAGACGTCATGGCTTGGGAGTACGCTTTCTTCCGGCGATATGATACCGACGCAGTACTTACAGCAACTACCGAAGCACTGGCCGTATACAAGCTACGGCGCGGCAAGAAAGGCAGGCCAGACTACCTCGTTCCCGTTGACAGATCCCAATTCGACAAGTCAAACGGTGGCATGGCTATTCCATGAGATGCTGTGGAATCCACGACCGCTTTTCACTCCGCCGTCAGCGAGAGGAGAGGAGTATGAACCAGGGCTTGCGGACTGGACACCGGCGTTCTCGAACGGTGATGCCCTGACTGCTATCCCTTCTACTTCCGCCGCACCCGTCATCTCAACGACGAACGTCGAGTCGAGCACCTCGGATCCCACAGCGACGGCAGCATCAGAAGGAACGATGACGCTGACGCTGAGTATTTCCATGACTTCGACAACGCTGTCTACATCATCGACGACCGCTGTTTTTATAAAGTCCGACATCATGTCCACGTCCATGTTGATAGCCTCCTCTGTTGCGATTCTAACAACAACGACAACAACATTACCGCCAACCTCTTCGTCTCCTCCATCTTCTTCTTCTTCTTCACTCACCTCACAGGCGCTCGTTCCTAATCGTCCAGAGTACACACAATACCCTATTCTGAGCAAACCACACGATGCGAGAGACGTCACGACTGCGTCATCTCGAAAGGCACTTGTAGATGCCATGGCTGGGTCGAAGCGGCAAATTGGGAACAAGGAGGACGCGATCAAGCAGTTGTGGGGTGAGATAAGAAGGGTTACGAAAGAGACAAATCGCTGATACTCGATCGCGAGAAGGCAACAGAGGGGAAGATGTAACAAAAAACCAATATAAAGGCTATTCGTGTCATAATTACGTATTAACTATCTGTACTACTTATATGAACCACCTCCCAAAATGAAGGGGTTTTCTAGACACGCTTTATACCAGAAACGCCAACGCATGCCCCTATATACAAGTCCTGTAATGAGACTCCATGAAGCGTATATACATAATGCCATCTACTTCTTCTTCCCCCTGTGCTTCACTACCGCTTCACCTCCGCAACAAGGTACGGGCCAATGACGCAAATAGCGGTCCAGACCACCATCGCACTCTCAACAACAATCGTGTACGGCGTCTTCCAGATAGGCACCTCCTGCAACCTGACGTAAATCGCGTAGAACGCAACGTAGAAGAAGTGGTAGACAAGCATCCAAGGGCGTGTGATCAGTCCCGCAAGCATACCACAGGGTTCACTGACGCTCTTTCCGCCGCGCAGGAAGTACTTGAAACAGCCCTTCTTGATCAGCTCGAGGTACTGGTTGTTGGCGGCGAAGAGGCTGTACAGCGCCATGGCCAGAATGTTGATGACGGATGACCCGTCCTTGCGCTTCCAGTGGAAGGTTGACATGGCGGCGAGGACGGCAGAGGTGTCTTCGAGTGTGGGTACGTTGGCGGGGGAGAGCAGGTTGGATAGTAGGACGACGTCGTTGAACGCGACTGTCATGCCGCCGCCGGTCAGGGGATGACGCATGTTCATTGAATCGCCGAGGAAGATGAGGCCGGCTTGTTTCTGCGTCGTAGGGGGTAGGAAGCTGTTGGGCATGGAACGTAATTTACCCGCTTCGATTGCTTTGCGGAAGGCGGGCTGGACGCAGGCGGGAAGTTGGGGCAGCGCGACATTGAGCATGTGGTTCTTGACACCCCCGTTCTTGGGGCTCGCCGAAGGCAGGTGCTCGGGTATGTCGACAAGAATGCGCGTCTCGTGTGTGCCGATTTGGTAGATGAGAATGGGGGGTGCGTCGGCGAGGATGACGTGGCCGTGGTTGGGCATGGGGAGCTCGGCGTCGATCATTTCGAGGCCCCAGAATTTACTGCGCACTTGGGGTTGGTTGGGGATGTATTCTTTGCGGAACTTGGAGGCGTAGCCGTCGGCTACGAGGGTCACGGCGCCAAAGTAGTAGTCTTGCTCCCCGGCGGTTTGACATGATACGCCGACGACTTGGCCGGTGTAGTCGCTCTTGACGACGGATGTGACGGTGGTCTCGACGACGGTGACGTTTGGTGTGGACTGGGCCTTTGCTCGCAGTTTGGAGATGAAGCGGCCGTGGTGGAAGGAGCGTCCTTCGGGTGCTCTCGAGGGTCCGGAGGTGATGAGGTTGTCGGGGTAGGGGATGTGGACCTCCTCTTTGCCGTAGAAGATCTGGTAGCCGTGGCAGGGTATCGCATCGATGTCGTCGAGGCAATCTGGGGCTTGCTGTCAGCGTTTCACCCTAGACGTGTGCTAGGAATGATTCAACGTACCCCTCATGCCCAGCTTCTCCAGAGCATTGACACCACCGGGCTGTAGCAGCTCTCCTACAATCCTGTCCGGCTCCTTCAAGCTCTTCTCCAGCAGTATGACGCTTCGGCCCTGCTTGCCGAATGCGACAGCAGCTGCGCACCCCACGATGCCCGCGCCGATGATGACGACATCGGCTTCATGGTGCACGCGCCGCCTCTCTTCGCGGGAGTCGCATGTGTGTGTGGATTCGATCGTGGGGACGGATTGGGTCGATGTGCCTCTGTGTCGCAGCTGGGGGGACGGCGAGGCAGAAACTCCAGGCGGGAGCTCTGCAAGCTTGGAACCGGAGTACATTGTGAGCATGGTTGCGGTTATTAGGGGCCTGTTGAAAGACCCTGTTGAGTGAAAGGTAAAGTTGATTGAGCAGAGGAAGGTGCGTTCCAAACTCAGTGGGGCGGGTGAGGCGCCGCGATAAATACTGGGCGATGTGCAGCGTGGAGAAGGAGTGTGTGTGTGGAGAAGTCAATCAGCCTCGTCGAAACGTCACACGGGCGGCGCGAGGGTAGAAATAAACTTCGCGGAACGTCAGGTCTCGTGCAGATCAAGGGTCCGGCATGCAACCGCGTCGTCGTGAGAACGAATCCGAGTGGCGACCTCACGATCTTAAGCCGCGAGATTGATTACAGGGATCGCGCTCACCGCCATGGCCCTTTCTGCCAGGGGTATCACTCCCGCCTGGGCGATGTGGTGTGAAGATCATCTCATCTTGTCGGAATCCGATCTTGCTCGGCTTTTCCTCGAACCATGGCTGGTCTTCGGGCGGGTCTTCGGGCGGGTCTTCGGTCTCCGGAAGGTGTATGTGTTGTTCGTGAAGGGTGATTGTAGGGTGGGTCGGCAAAGACATGCACCTGCATAACATTCACGTGTTGGCTACCAGGCACCCGCATCAAACTTAGAATCGTCGCAGGCACACCACAGCGACAAGTAGTCGATGCAAATCTCCTCTCTATGTGGTATATACGTTTCGCACAAACTCTATACATTGGGAATTCAGAAAGCAACTCTGCCGAGCTGAGTATATTCAAAGCGCTGCACAAATGGCGCCGCGTTCGCTACGGTAGTTAATAGAAATTACAAATAAAGCCAGTACATGGTGTGATGTAGGTATATAGTGGTAATGAAGCAAGCATGCGTCTCGTCGTGGCGAACCTTCCGCCTTCTTGCTTTGGGCCACACAAGTCCGATTAATCCCCGAATCGTCCAAGCCATTGTGTCGTCAATGTGTGCCAGATAATCCGCCCAAACGAAGAAAAGATAGGAACAAAGAGCCCCAAAGAATGTGCCAGTACGCCTCCAAGGCCCAAGGAAACGTCTCGCCAATAAGGGGCCTACGCAACGCGTAAGAATTGGAAGGGACGACCGGTGGAAGTTATATGTACATCTGTACGAATATACACAAGATCATGACTACGTCTTGATGTGTTGCTGAAGCTTGGCGGTATTGCTATCCAAGGCGTCTAGAAGGCAGAGCCGGGGCGCTGGCTCGAGGGGGGGAACATCGGCGACGCCATTGGGGTATCGACTTCCATGATGGTGGATTGCCGGTCAGCGAATTGTGTCTTGCCGTCGACAGGCTGGGCTGGGCCAAGGTGCGAGTTGCGGTAGTATGCCTCGTAAAACTCGCTGAGTCGAGCATCCTGCCCCTGTTGACCCGGTGCAAGCAGGTTGCTTGAGTGGGGACGGCGTTCCGCCTCGTCGTCAGTAGACGCAAGGATCGATGTGTGGCCGGATTCGACTGTCGAGGCGGCAGAGGCTGAGCGGCCCGGCTTTTGCTTTTGCAAAACCTGAGTATGCGAGTCCTTCTTTTGCGCTGCCTCCTGATATGCTTGGTATGCTTGGAAAGTGCTTAGCCGGTTGCCACTGCTGTAGATGCTGCTCGCGTCGCTTCCGTCTCGTTCATGGTGTGGCGAGTAGGTTCGTGCCTGTAGTTGGGGTTGGAGAGCGGGTGACGAAGGTTCAGAGTCTTGGAAGAAAGTTAGGGATGGCCCGATATATATCTACTAAATGCTAAAAGTACAACAGACAACGCACCAGGAAATCGCGTTACCTACTCGGCTCGTGGACCTGCACGCGAGGGTAGTCGTACTCGGGCGATGGAGAGCGGGACTCCTTCCGCAAAGCATGGCCAGGGATGGATGGCAACTTGGCTGTGGGTGGGTTGTGGGGCGAAAGCGGTGTTGGTGATTGACCAGGCGAGTTGTGGTAGGATCCTTGCTGTGACTTGATGGCGTTCGCATCTCCGGAGTGGTGCGATACCATGAGAGCTGGCGCGTATTGCTGACGGTTCAAATCGGCTGGTGACATGGACCGAGGAGATGTGAAACCGTCGCTGTCGCTGTCGGAGCCAGCAAAGTCAGGAGAGGTGGTACCACGCGGGTGACCGGGCGAAGGAGGAACTTGAAGAGACATGTCGACAGCGCCGTTGTGGTTGCGTCTTCCACTGAGCTCGGCCTCAGATGGGCGGAGCTTCATGGTAGGCGGTGAAGCTCGTCGTGTGGAGGGTTCTTTGGTGGCGTTGAGGTTCAGGCTGAGCATGCTGTTGTTGTTGGACTGTCCCTTCATGAGCGGCGAGTTGACGCTCCCTCCGACCAAGGTGCTGGTGCTCATTGTTGGGTTATCGCCCATGACAGATCCTGCTCTTGAGGTAGGTCGCGACTGAGCGACTCCGGCGTAGAATCCGGCCTCGATGGCGCGAATACCAAACAGATCACCCTCATCCTTCTCGCGTTGGTTCAGTTCAACAGTGTCCTCCTTGGGTCCAGCCTCTAGCTCGGTTTGCTTCGCTTTCTTCAACCTTGCTATTGTTAGTTCACGTCAAGATGGTGTCAATATTGGTACTTACTTCTGACGGTTGTACAACACCTTGATGAATCCACCGAGGATAGTAATGACCAACAGTGACAAGAAGACAACACTGTGCAGTGTCAGTCGTTGTAACACTCTATATCGTCCTAATGACTTACATGTACTTGTATGCCAACTGCAAGTCGCCAAACCAGTTCGACATTATGATTAATACCTCGCGATGGCGGATAGTGCTCTTGGATTATGAATGTATTTTGCTGATATCCTCGTAGGCGGTACACTGGATGTATAGGCTAAACCGATTACTGTCGATCCAAGTAGTATCTATCGTCGCATAGGTAGCGAAATGAGTGTCGGGTAAAAGCCGTGGGAATCCAAATAAGGAAGGCGCAGTGCAGGACGATGCTCGGAACGAGAGGACGTGTATACAAGATACACAAGAAAGAGTGACTGGGGTTGCAAGTCCTTGGAAGAGCGATGCAAAGACGAGCAGAGCTACGGGGGGATAAAGAGTAAAAGAGCGTAGCTTCAGAGGCGCGCGCTGACTGCCTCAGTAGTTTGGCGCTATCTACACGACGTCGGCACGCATGGTTGAGATCTAAAAGCGGAGGCGACAGCCTAGGTCCTCATGCCCGCTCGTGAAGCGAGCGTCGAGGCCAATCAAAGCAAGCACGGTGCCCTAAACGGAAAGCGATTCAGGTGCGCTAACGGATTTAGTTGAGGGTTTGTTTGAAGGCGTTGTGACCCGGCATGCCCATGCAGAGCCAGCCCTGCCCTCGTGTCAGTGCCCTCCGAAGATTCGGAAAAGCTCTTAAGCTCTTGTTCGATGTCAGTCTGGGCGCTCGTACAGCGTAATGACGAGTCTCTCCACTGGTATTGATCCATTTGGTGGTGTTCTGTGTGCAAAGTAGAGGGCGTGGCGCTGATGATGCCATGGCAATAGGAGCGGCAGTGACGGCAACCGAGCAGTCAGAGCCTGTGATGGCACAGCTGTGGCGCATCAGGCGTGGAGCCATGTCGTGTTGACGGTTCACCCAAGCATGATTCGCTTCTCGTCCCGTCGTGCCCCTGACGGCGAGTTGGGACAGCGAGAGGAACAGGCATGGCGGCTGTTCAGGCGGCCTATTCGGTCCCACTTGGATGAGCTTGGCAGGGGAACAGGACTCCAAGTTGGACCTGGCGCCTGCGGAACTGGCCACTGCAGATGCTTTTTTCAGCACAACGTGCCTGACACCCACGCAGGGCATCCTTTTCTCGCGTTCTCGCCATGCGATGCCCATCTCCCGGAGTGCCTCCGCTTACTGCAATTTCCCGGGAACTCGGCAACAACTGTAGCATCGATTATCGATCTCGAACCTCCACTTCGAGTCGATCAGCATGTTCTGTGTAACGGTCACAGTCAAGACCTCAAACACCAAGGCGCGTGTTAAGAACGCAAGCGATGCAGCAAGTGCAGGGCGCAGCTGCAGTCGATCGCACGCTTGCTCTGAAAGATGCGTGACAGGAGTAAGACTTGTCGCACCAGGATGCAATGGGCCAATATCCGTTGAAACGAAACGTTGGCTATCCGCTTCTGACTCCTCCAGCGGCGCGGTAGCTTCTGTCACGACCGATGCATGCAGAGGAACAGAACCCTGTCCCGCGGTGTATAGCGAGTACGATGTGCCTTAGCACGCGGTTGCCGACTTCCGGACAGCGCGCTGCCTTCGGCTTCCGATGGCAGTAGACAACGACCAACAAATAGAGCACATGCATGAGAATGAGCAGACTGACAATGCCGTCATTCTCCGGCGTCAGAGGAATGAGATGCCCTCAGCATTGCCTGGAAATACGACGACCGTTGGCGGAAAGAGGGTCAGGCATTAGCTTGGCGGGACCTGGAGTTGAGCGGTTCCACTATTGCCAGTCCACCTCGTACTTTTTTTTCGCGCCGGCGGCGCCGCCTATGCCTATAGTATGAGCCTCAGGGACAGAATCTCATCTCACCCTGTTATGCGAAAAGGAGTAAGATGCCAAGTTGGAAATTGCATCCTCTGCACATGTCGCCAGTGGGTTCCACATGACCAATCGTGGGTGCCTGGCAAAGGCTCCGTCGCGCTATCGATTGCAACTTTCAGTCCGGGGCGCCATCACTCGGACAGCCAAGTGTGGTGGTGTCATAGAGAACTTAGGTCCCACGGACGGGACGTAGGTCATCACCCAAGGTTCCGCTCCGTCTTGTTGTAAACAGTGCCAAGATCCCACGCTTGCCTTCGTCCCCTGAACCGCACGATGGCTTCTTTTGCGTCGCGTGTCCTCAGTGTTGAGGTCTGGAGAATACCCCTCCAATGTGACCTTCAGAATCGCGCGAGCACCGAGCCTCGCCTCGTGTATGTAGCGAGGCAGAGAGACTGTCTACTTCAATACCTCAATCTCAACGCCGAGTGGCCGCGCAATATCTTCGCGGAGAATGTCCAATAGACCATTGTGAAGAAAGTCACAGGAACAGCATCGCAAGCATAGCCGACGGCGTACAGCAATCAGTTCCAAATGGTAGGAGCAACTCAAATCTTGGGGGATGTCATGCACACAGCTATTGAGTATGCGAGGTGGGAGGTCTTGGCAGCTCGCGATGTATGGCGTCATACGCGCCCCGTCTAGTGGCTACCCTTGTCAAGGGCGCCCCTCACACACTTTCCATCCTACTTGGCACAAGTCCGCCGGCTAAGTTGGATTGCACAACAACCTACAGCTACGATGGTCTCGTCCCTTCAGACTTCCGATAATTCCAAAGTCGTCAAGACTGAGCCTCTCGACAACAAAGACGCCAAGTGGGCGACACTCAAAAAGTAAGTATTCGGCTGTTTTGAACGCCTCAAGCCATTCTCAAATGACACCAATACATCCCAGTCTATGGCATTCACAACGAAATCACACCGGAGCCTCGCCGGATCTCTGCATCATACATGAGACAACACTTTGCTGACAATTTCTAGAATCACCTACACTGACCCAAAAGGTGTTGAGCGCACATGGGAATCCGGAGAACGTCTCACCCGACCACCAGGATCTGATATCGACGGCGTAGGCGTTGCAGCCATCCTCCAGGACCCAGCGAAACCCAATGATGAGCCTCGAATTCTGCTGCAAAAGCAATGGCGTGCGCCCGTTGATGCGACCGTCATAGAAGTTCCGGCTGGCTTGATGGATCCGGATGAGACTGCAGAGTCCTGCGCCATCCGTGAGCTCAAGGAGGAAACGGGCTACGTCGGAGAACTCGTCCCAGATAAGACTGTAAGAAATCCATTCATCTGCCATGCAAGCGTACGCTGATAACATGTCTCCCATTCTAGTTTCGGGTTACTCCAATCATGTTTAATGGTAAGTAGGGCTCGGAAATGGCGCTTGCGACGTCATCAGTATGCCGCTCCTTATTATTTTCTTTTGCATCCGGAAAGCTTCTTCGTAATGATGCCATACAGGCAACGGGCGTGCGCATTCGACATACAATCGCCACACATACATTTCAACATTACGCACACTAATGTTCATCCAGATCCCGGCTTCTGCAACACCAACCTCAGGATGATTCACGTCACAGTGGATATGTCTCGCCCGGAGAACCAGAACCCACAGCCGGAGCTTGAAGAGAACGAGTTCATCGAAACCTTCTCTGTCCCATTGAAAGATCTATGGGATGAATGTATCAGATTCACGGAACAAGGATATGTTATCGATGCAAGAGTCGGCTCATTAGCGGAGGGCTTAGAATTCGCTAAGAGATGGAAGTTGGCATGACTAGTCGGCAAGCCTGCGAGGCACTCTCGTTTATGAGGTACCAATTCTTATGGATATATACCCATGAATGAACCTCTCCATGGGCACCTATCGAAGAGCTGCTGGACTGGTACAGAATCTGCCGCTCATTCCTCGTATACCAAAATGTTCCCACCAGATAGGTCACAGACGACATCCGTCGAGACCCCATCAATCAAAATCAGTGTTGGTCGCAGCACCCTCCCATTCGTCCAACAGCTTCAAGGTGCTCTCGCACTTCTCCCTAATCACTTGATGCGCATCTTCTCCTAATACCACTCTTATCGGTATCTCTTTTCCTTCAGCACACCCACTCATAGTCAACACATCGACTATAACCCGACAAGCTTTCGCAGTATCCCCTCTCTGGGTGCCATGTTTCCCTTCCAGCCATTTCCTCAGCTCTCCCACGTCGCCATCCTCATACACATCGATATGCTTTTCGCTCTGTACTTGCACTCCCTCTGCAAGAACAGCGGTACGATAGTAGCCTGGCTCAATGACGGTAACAGGGATACCAAGGGGAGCGAGCTCTGCGCGCAGTCCTTCCGTGATGCCCGATACAGCCCACTTCGTTCCCGCGTATAGAGCGTAGCCCGCGCCGCCTTGCCAAGATACCACCGATCCAAAGTTTGAAATGGTTCGATGGCCGGATGTGGCACGTAGATGGGGTAGGAAGGCTTTGACAACATTGAGGGTACCGAGCACGTTCGTAGTAAAGATTTTGAGATCTTGTTCCGGGCTAGATGCTGTCAGTAGGTCTACCAGCCTGGAGATCAAGCTTGACGAGACACATACGAGGTTTCTTCTACAGCGCCTACGAGCACGTAGCCCGCAACATTGGCAAGATGGGTGATATATCCATATTTGTCGTTGGCTTCTTTTGCTACCCTCTCAAGCTCCTCCAACGGTGATGTGACGTCCAAAACCACGGTGTCGGCGCCTGCATCTTTAAGTTCGGCGATGCGAGAGAGACTTCTAGCGCTGGCAATGACCTTGTGGCCTCTCGCCAGGGCTTCGAGGGCCAAGCATTTACCGAAGCCGCTTGAAGCTGCTGTGATGAACCAGACTGGGGTTGGAACGCTCATGTTGGAGTAATTCGCTCTTGCGACAGTGTGGAAAGAACTGGCCGAGAGGCGTCAAAGTGAATGAGAAGTACGCTGGTCAGTGCAGGTTCGACGGACGGCCTTTAAACAGCCTCATCGTTCGGCAGCCCCTGCACATGAAAGCTGTCATCGGTAAGAGCGATGCACACATTCTCGTCCAAGATTACGCATCATGCCCGCGGAGCGCCATCATCCATAGCACAGCCTTCCATGTGCCCACCAGCGGTTCATTAGATGCTTGCAGGCGGTTGGGTAGAGTTCGCGTGGGTGCTTGCCTTGCATATGCACAGCTGACGGAAGCAAACGGAATACCAATCTAGGAAGCTGGAAAGCCGAACGAGTAAGAGGAAAACCGATTTTGTCAGCGATTGGTTGGCTCATAGAACGGTGGCGCGCATCCCTGTACCAATGCAGCCTTGCAATGAACACGGATCTATCATAAGACTGAATCTGACAACACCGCTCGTGGATGCGATAGCCAGGTTTCCCATGGAGAGCCCAGATACCCTTCGATTAGAGTAAAGATATAACGTCCAGCATTGCCGACTTGCCATAAATGTCTGCCGAAGTGTAGTAAGATGGCGTAGTAAGCAAGCACTACCAAGGCTACAGGCTGCTTCGCATCCAAGAGTCTGTTGAATCTTGGGGGAACCAGCATGGTCCACTCGCAGATCATTTGATACCGACTGATTGGCGAATCCTCGTCGCTTTGCACGGCATCGAGCCCGACTTGAAGGTAGCGCACTGCAGTTCGGCATGCGTGCTTTTCCTCTTCGCTCAAGTCGTCAGTGTGGTCGATGAGGTTGCTAATAGACGAACAATCATCGCCCTTTGGGAGCTGAGAAGTGAAGGTCCTACTCAATGAAAGTATCGGTTCGAGCTCCGACTTCATGAGTAGCGGCCACGCGGATGTAGCAATGGTATAGATACCTCTGTGCATATCTATACACTGCACGTAGTGTGTGATGAAACCGTCGATACCGGTTGAAGGACGTAACGCAAGGGTGTCCGCCAGTAGGTGCTGACCCAGCATTGAAGAGAAAAGCAGTATCGGTACACAATTGGATTGGTCCACATCTACTCTGGCAGAATTGAATAGCGAAACAGCGCGTGTCTGTAGAGCCACGGATTGGTGACGAAAGTAGGCTGAGCGTTCTGGATTGACATGTGCCAGATGGCAGGCGGAAAAGGCGAGGATCTGGTGCATGAGGTATGACGCCTGCAGAGCGGTCTCGAAACCGAGAGCGATACCAGAACGATGGAACTTCTCAAAGCCGACGGCAAAATTGTACATTTCTTCATTCAGCATAGCATGGAGGAGGAGCTCCATGTGACCGGCATTGACGTGATCTTCGTGGTACGCTTGGCTACCATTTGTCGATGGAGTATCTGCTGTGCGACCGTCACAGAGCGCAGAACTTGTCGGAGAGTTATCGTTGGGTGTAACTGAAGCATTGAAGTCAAACTGATACCCTGGGCTTACGGATCGAGGGTGTGCATCTGGGGCTGAGATGGATGTGAAGCTGCACGCGCGCTCAGAAACGGTACATAGCCGACAGCGAGGGCGGTTTTCATCGCACTAATAAGTATCAGGTTACCAATAACTTCAAGAGAGCTTTGAATCCAAAGCTTACCTTGATATGCCGTCGTTTACTACACGGACGTGTTAGTTGAACGAGAGGAGAGGAAGGACATTGTGAGACCAGGGGGGTAAGGGACGCACCATTCCAGGCACCCGCCTCTGGACTTCCTGTGACTGCGCCGAAGCATGTTGGCTTCATGACTGTGAGTGATCAGGTAACACGCGTATTACATACGTGCAGACATCAGAAGCATGGACGAGTAACGGCGCTTGGCGGAGAAGGGGGCCTGATCTCTCGGGCAAGGCCTCCTGACTAGCGCCATCCTTCGCTGACGTAACACGCGTGTAAACCTGTTTGGGTCAAGCGCCAGCCTCTCTTCTCATCCATTCCGCCAACCCATCGATGATACCCTGCGCTTCAACGAACTGTTTTAGTCCATTCTCATTACAACAAGGACTTGCACGGACATTAAGACAGCAGCAGCTCGCAAGCTCTACTCATTTCGGTCGGCCACTTCCTTCCATGCCATGCGGCTGTACATCGGTCGGTGCACAGGTTTGCCCTGTGGGTATCTGAGCGTTATGGCTAGCAGAAGGCAGACTCTTGGCGCTTCGCAAGGTAGGAGCAAGACAATATGATCTTCTGGGTGCGCGTTAAATTTCCCTACAAGTAGTCTCCAACTGCTTTGCTTGTTGCTTTCGTACTCACAATCCCTGTTCCATTCCAAAACAAATTCCTTGTCGCCTGTCTCTGCAGTGCCATCATTTGAAGCCTCGTTTACTACCTTTGCACGCTTTTGCTCGATACGTCGTCGAGAATGCCGGCGCTTGAAACCTACAAAGGCGCCTACCTTTGGAAATACGTGCCCAACTTCGCAGCAGCCATCACGTTTGGAGTTCTTTTCCTTGTCTTGACTCTAGCACATACCTATAAAGCGTACAAACATCGAACATGGTACGCTATACCATTCATTACTGGTGGCTTCTGTACGTATTTCTTGGCTCTGGTCTGACTGGCATGCGTACGCCGGTAGACTGACATATCCAGCTGAGCCCATGGGTTATGCGTGTCGTGCAATAGCAACCCATCATACAGGCGCTTTAGTCCCCTTCCTTCTACAAGCGATCTTCCTCCTCCTTCCACCGTGTCTATTTGCAGGCACACTGTACATGGTTTACTCGCGCGTAGTACGAGCCACGCATGGCGAACGCTTCTCTTATGTGTCACCTCGATGGTGCACTCGAATCTTCATCGCAGGCGACCTTCTTTGTCTCAACATCCAATCAACTGGGGCGGGGTTCCTTCCCAAGCCGAAATTGGTAAACGCTGGAAACGGTGTTATCGTCACAGGCTTGGGTCTACAAGTCCTCATCTTTGCCGGATTCATGTGGTGCTGCGTTCTTTTCCACCGCAAGTTCTCACTCCACCTCCGCAACACTGGCCAAACTGTCGATGTACCTTGGGAAAGTGTGCTCTGGATGCTATACGGGACTTCTGTTCTCATCTCAATACGAAACATCTTCCGCCTAGTCGAATTCATCGCTGGACACGACGGCTACCTAAACTCGAACGAGTGGCCAGTATACGTATTCGATGGCGTCTTGATGCTCCTCGTTATGACCAGCTTTTACATCTGGTACCCGCCACAGCTACAGCTCGAGGAGATTGGTACAGAGAGTATGATTGAGCTCACGAGCGAGGATAACAATGTGCCACAAAACGAGCCGTCCAGAAAGTAGCTTGGATGTTGCGATACCAACAATCGACGAACTTGTAGCCATACTGTAGCCTTCTATACTACAGTCTCTTTCAGATCAAACATAACGGGTTTCGTCTCCGCAAACTCCTTCCTTTGATCCAGTTCCTCAAACCACTTCGCCAGTACCTCGTACTTGCTCTTCCATCCAGGGCTCATGCTTCCAAAGTCGATAAACCCTACTGTACACACCACCGCAATATCAGCAATCGTCATCTCGTCACCAACGAGATATGCCTTCTCTTGCTCTCTTATACTCCGGATCATTTCATCGAAAGCCTGCATTGCGCCACTGATTTTCCGCTTCTGTCGATCGAGCCAAAGCTGCGACTGCTTGTCTTTCTCTCGGCGAGCTTCAAACCGGGCTATCACGATGGCGTCCATGCAACCCACGCTCAATACAACGATTTGTCGGATTTGTAGATCCAAGTCCATGTCGCCGGTGATTAGCTTCGGGCCCCTGTCTGCATACTTGCGCACAATGTATTCTTGGATGTGCGCGCTATCGTAGACTGGCGGTCGGCCGTCAGGGAGAAGTAGGACGGGCAGTTTCTCCAATGGGTTGTATTTGGGTGTTTCTGTTGCGCTTTGCCATGGTATCTCATTCCTGAGCTCGAAGGGTATGCCTTTTAGAGTGAGCGCGATGCGGTTCATGCGTGCGAATGGCGATGGTGTTGCTGATATGAGGGTCAGTGGCGACATTTCTGCGGTGGAGCTGGACATCGTCGCTGGGCTTAATTTCGTATTCTAATGTCTTCAAAGGTTGCAGAGCATGCAGACTGATGTTGATGTATGAGCGCGGACTGCGGGGACGTGATGGGGTATGGATAATGTACTTGTCTAGGCGGAGATAAGCCCGCACCTCTACGTCATTGCTTCGCAGTGATATTTGAAATAGTTCAGTTCCTGTTGTCCGAAGGATCGTCGTTCGTGAACATGATGGCAGTTGTCTGCAAGGACTTCAGCTTACCCATTGGTCAACCGCTTTACAACCTTCATGCCCCATCCCGTTATCCCCCCTTCACCGTCTCTCCTACTATCTCCAATATCTCTCGCATCCATACGCCTGGCTCTCTGCACACTATCCACCAGGGCTCCAATAACATCTTCTACCTCCCCGCGCTCATTGGAACTAATCTCGAAATGCCGGAAACCCTGACTTGCAGCCCATTGTTCCGCCATGTCCTTTTTCACCTGCCTCTTTGATGCATCCTCATCGACCATGTCCTTTTTATTCCCCACTACTACACAACCGAACCTCTTCTTCACTCCTTGCATCCTCCCTTCTGTGCCGTCTTTGGTAAATATGGTGTTGCGACAGTGGTAGATGTGTGGATACGTGTATTTGATGAGTTCATCCCAAGACCATTGGGCAGTGATGTCGTATATCAGAACGACGCCATCAGCACCCCCAATGTATTCATTCAAGACACGGCGATATGAGGGAGATATGGAGCCCTGGAGATCTATATCCATGAAAGAAAAGCTCCAGTTGTCATCAGCGTGCGAAATGGTCCTTGAAAGTAGTTCGGAGTCGACAGCGCTGTGGCGAATAAAGTGTTTCCCCTCGAGGAACTAGAGCCAGTGTCAATACTGATGCTACTGGAGGAGAAACGACAATGGGTAATGTTGACAGGACGGTCGCATACCATGTCAATGAAGCATGTTTTGCCTGATTGGGCCTCACCTAAGACGACCACCTTGAGCGGGTTTGGTTCTTTGGAAAACAACATGATGAGACCTGAAGCAAAAAAGGAACATGCGATGTTGCCCAAGTGTGTTGGACTGATATCGCGCTGATTGTCAAGGCGTGAATCCTTCGCGACTGCCTGGTCAGGTAGCGCTAAGCTTCGAAAGGATACAAGCGGCACGTATGCCCAGAACCACGGCGCAGCACCTGCATCGAAATGGGCGCGCTTTCAACGCAGCGACTGCTCTATTTCACTGCCTAGATGCTTTGCCACGAAATGGGATGCAGACACGCGTGGATTACACGTGTGTAGCTAAAGTAGCGGCCCACGCTCCCGCCAAGTCCGCGTGCCGGCAGTCCGGGATCGACGCTGGGGTCAGCCAGCAAGGCTAGATGGGCTCGACAAACGCGAAACAGCAGCGGCGTTCTTATGGAGGCTCCTCGCCCGCCTGATCATGCCTCGATGACTTCCTGGCACCCTCTACTGTATAATTGCCCCGACCCTGCCTCTAGAATTCTCGACCGCCACGACAGGAAGGACCTGCGCAAGAAACACCAAGCGCAAATGACCGCTCGGCCATAATAAAAAGGACTGGCATAACGCTGTCACTGCTTTCGCATTCTACATCGTCGTATACAGTGCCTGTTTTCCTCGCTGTGAAGACTATCTTGAGACACGACGGCAGTGCGAGATTTTCCCCTTCGACCAAAACATCGCGATGACGTCGTACCGTGATCACCCCTATGCGCATGCGCAAAACCGCCCGCGACCCCTCATCGAGCAGATACCAGACTACCGCGACGACCTTGACGTATCCGACGAAGAAGAAGGCTTCTACGCACGCGACGACGATTTCCTGATTCCGCCAAAGTTCCAGGCGGCGATCGCACGCACAACCGACCGAATCCCCCGGAGGATAAAGCGCCACAGTGTCACGTATCTCGTAATCGCGGTTCTCTTTTTGATAAGTTGGTGGACATACTTTGGGCCTAGACACACAGCATACAGAACGGAGTTGCATCTCATGGACAACGCACCAACGATGAGCTACGGCAGCAATGTCCGGCCAGAGTTCAAGGGCATGATCCAGGTCAGCGACATGGACGAGCAGCATCTGCCTAAGAAGCACAGCAGACTCGTCTTCGTCGGCGATGTCCATGGCTGCAGAAAGGAACTGGAGCATCTCCTCAAGAAGATCGACTTCAACCACAAGCACGACCACCTCGTCATGACCGGCGACATGATAGCCAAGGGCCCAGACTCGCCAGGCGTCATCAAGCTCGCCCAAAAGATCGGCGCTTCCTGCGTGCGCGGAAACTGGGAAGACAAGCTCCTGCTCTCCATCGCCGACGCACAAGATCGTCACGTCCTCAAATTCACCCCCGACGGCTCCCCCGACGCAAACATCGACTTTGTAGACGAAGTCAGCCAATCGCACGGTGACTACAAGCTACGCAAGCTAGCGAAGCAATTCACCAAAAAAGAAATCGAATACCTCCGACAATGCCCCGTCATCCTCCGCGTCGGCACCGTCCCGACATTAGGCAACCTCGTAACCGTACACGCTGGCCTCGTCCCCGACACCCCACTCGAACACCAAGACCCCTTCCACGTTATGAACATGCGGACTATCGATCTTAAGACGAGAATACCGAGTAGCAAACATTCGGGCACGCCTTGGGAGAAGTTCTGGAATCATCACCAGGAGAAGCTGAAGCAGGAGGATAGGGCGACGGTGGTTTACGGACACAACAGAAAGAAGGGTCTCAATATACATGAATTCTCCTATGGTCTGGATACGGGGTGTGTTAGTGGGGGCAAGCTGACAGCGCTTGTTGTTGATGGAGACGGGAAGACGGAGTTGGTGCATGTCAAATGTGGCAAGGAGAGTGGGTATGCTAGTGATTAAGGGACCACGGTCTCCAGGATTCGATATGTGGGCGTTTGGGAACTATAGAATATCCGTTGGGCATTTTGGGAGTTGGTGTCGGATGCACCGTTGCCTATACATACTTCTGTCGGCTTAGCGTTAGCATACCATTGTTGTAATATCAAGTTAGATTATTGTGTTTTCTCGATAAAGTCTTACGAAACATCACAGTCATAGGTCGAAGAACACTCAAAGCAGCCGAGTACATGGGTACCATCATACGATTCACTGCGAACGAAGTTCTCGTCAAACCAGCGAGTGGAGACGTTTATTATTAGAAAAGAATTGTACATGCTGTTGCCCGTGGTAGATGAGCGCATTGCTAGTCCAGACAGCGTGACTGGAACACCACATCTACGAAGCTCAGGCTCGTGACACTAACGCCGATACGTGCAGATCTGACGGCACGGAGCTGAACACCCTGAAGTGTGACCATCAGAACGTTTCTCTCGCCCAAAGTACAACTCAACGCCTCCTACAGGACGGATACGAAACACCCGTGTCACGGTAGCTAGAACTGAAGTCCTACTCCTCCATTTCCACATCCTCAACCTTCATCACCGGAGCGCCCATGTCATCACTCCCGCCCTGTACATGTTGCAGAACAGGAGCATACGAATTCATCTCGTCACCCATTCCGTATGCAGCGAACTGTATAGGCTGAGTCGTAGCCGCACCAATCCTCTGAAAGTCTGGAAACGCCTCACGCTCGCCGCTATCGTAAGTGGGCCGGCGACCTTGCATGCCAGGGTGATGAGTCGGAAATTGGTACTGCTGCATGCGGTTTCGCGAATCGTTTAGCACGGTGGGTTCTCGGACTGCTTCCAGACGGTCCATGAACGCGTTGCGCTGGACAGTTGGGCCACGTTGGATGCCGGGATGGAGGTTTGCAGCTGAATGACCAACGAAGGGGAAGGCGTGAACACCACGACCAGTAGCCTGTGGATGACTGCTCCGCAACGACGCATCGTTGCGCTTGATCATATCACCGAGCATCTGGTTCTGCCTAGCCAACTCCGTCTTCTGGCGCTGGTTCTCAGATGTCAAGGTGTTGACCTGACTGCGCAACTCCATCATCTTACTCTCAACAATGCGGTTCCAGTTCGCAATGGTGCCGGCGTTCTGGAAGATCGGGGTCTCGCCGTCAACGATGTCGATATTGTCTTCCGAAATTTGTGAGCCAGTTGGCGATAGCGGAGTTTCGATCCCCCTGCGACCATTATCGATCATGGTTGCGAGGCGGGACTTGGCTTTCATGATCATGATGGTGTCCATGTCTCGGAGTTTGATGTCGGGACGCTCAGGATCATAAACATCGCTGAAGGTCATGTTGTAGTCGATCTTGATGTAACGATCTCGCACGTCATCGTCCGGGCCGCCTAGGGCGTATTGGTATATGAAAACCCAGTCTATGTCGTACTGCTTGCCTCGCTGTTGACAATAGTATTCTAGACGAGGGCCGAACTTCTGCGACGCACGGATCGTAAGGATAGAGAAAATGGGAGTGCCATTGATGTCGTATGTATTGCTATGAATACGGAGCGTCATTATGGGATCGTTCTCGTCTGCTACGGGTAGAGCAGAGCGTTGCAAAGCAATCTAAACTTGTCAGTGACTAGATTCTAGAGCCGGGAAACAATCCCACTTACTGGCTCTGTGAGCTTATGAGCTACCGGTCCCTTCGTAGTCGAAGCAGCCGTATTAATTCCTTGAAGCTGCCCTTGTGTCGGCAAGTTCAAGTCGGCGGCTGGCTGGGCCGACGTCTGACGAGAAGGCATGCGAGATCCAGGCGCGCTTGCAAGGAACTCGTTGGGCCGAATGTTACGACGAGCAGCTTCCTCATACACCTTGAAGTTGGCGGATTGGATGGGTCGGAAGCGCGTCAAACGAGACTCAGGGGAATGCACATGGTTGAACTGGGTGCGATGTTCGTCCAGTGCCTGTGGCGCTGGACGAGTTGGTATAGGCACACGCACTCCGTTGTTGTGTCGAGTTGCCATGGCTGCGATACGTCTCTGTTGCGCATTCAACTTCTTGAGCAATTCATCACCATCTATCGCAGATTGATTCAGGACCTCTCCATTCCGCCCCACAATATATGTCATAAGACCAGAACTATTGTGGATATTTGGCCAGCGAGCCAGAGCTTGCTGCGGAGTCATGACATCGCGACCATTGTATTGTTGGCCGGGTATCAAGGGTGGTATGGGAACCTGCTGCTGCGGAACTGGGTATCCTCGGGCTTGATCTCGCTGTACGTGCTGGGACATGAGTGTCGACTGCGGGGGTAGTGTAGTTGGAACGTGATCGCGCGATTGTAGGTGCGTCGAGGATCTCAAGCCGCCAACTGGAATTGTGGTCATTAGCAGTCATTCAAGATAAGGAGTTTTTGGAGGACACGTACTGTTCTCTTCGATATCCATATGATACTGGGGCGACCTCTCAAGGTCAGACTGCGACGCAAACGGAGGATACAAACGGCCAGCGTCCTGACTTGGTCCAGTGGCTGTAGTTGTCTCTTTCTTGGCAACAGCAGTTGCACGCTTGGCGACCGGCTTGGACTTTGGACTCGCAACTGGTGAGTCGGTGGCCTTACGCTTGCCTTTGTCGTCCTTGGCAACTGTGCCAGCGCGACTAGATCTAGGAGCTAATTTGTACGGTTGTGTGGGTGTGTCTGTGAGCAACTCTGGGTTGCAGTCGGACACTTGCTCTTTGTGCTTGGTACATGCAAGTCCCTGCTGCAGGCAATGTTTACAGGCGTCGTCGGTATAATAGGCATCGCACGTCGACTTATGGCCCTTGCAACATTCGTCACAAATCTTCCAGCATGAGTCTTTGATGTGCCGCTGATTCACAATTAGCGATGTTTATCTGAAGGATATGGACGGACGACAGACCTCTATAGAGTACTTCTTGGACATCTGGGCATCGCACCGTGGACAGGCAAAGACGCTGTCACTCATGCTACCCCCGAGGCGCCTCTTTGCACATTTGGATCTGGTATCCCTTGTATGGCGCTATAGTTAGGTCAGTACGTGAAGATGAAACGTGGGCTTCTGATACGTACTTTGAGCTTCGCTTCGCTGACATATGTCTTGCCACAATACTGGCATGCGTATGGCTTCTTGGTGTCGGAACTTTCGTCCGCAGACTCTTCGCCGTCATCATTTTTGAGCGCTTCGACGCGTCCATCGTTGCCTCGCATCGCGCTGCTCACTTCTAGAGAGGGAGTTTCGGGAAGTTCTGATAAAGGCGAGCTGTCTGCCACTGGGGACATGCTAGATGGCTGAGTCTGCGCCGCACTATATATTGTAAGCATTGATTTCAAAGGGTTCGCTCGTGAATACATACTCGCACTGATATGGATCGCTATCCTGACTCCGCTCCATAGTGAACTGGTCTCAGGGCAGATTATGAGTCGAAAGAGTGAGAGAAACCGTTCAAGCCAGAGGAGACGATATGCTCTTTATAGCAGCAGAGATATGAAGGACGTGCAGAGAAATTAGAAGATTCGAATCATCTGACTCAGGCGCGGAAGAGTGAAGAAGTTCAGCAGCGCGTGTGATCGACGAAAGACTTTCGTTATAGGCACCGGTGAGCAGTGAGGGCTGATGAAAAGCCTTCAAAAAGACCCTGAAAGAAATTTGCAAACGCTCACCACCCCTATTAATGTTGCCTGGAGCAGTCAAAGACCGTCCAGAACCGTCGGTGCGTTCAGTCAGCGAGAGCCTTCCTTGGAGCGATGACGCAACTGATGGTCCGCGCGTAAAAACAGAGAAGGTTAAATGGCGTGTTCCGGTCGCGAACACCTTGTAGAGTCCGTAATATATTCGTGAAAAAAAAAGATCGTATAGTCTCGTAGCCGGTCACTGTCTGCTGGCCTTGATCCAACAGAGCATTTCTCTGTCATGATCGATATGCGAACTGTGAAGATGCGTCGTGGATGCTAGATATCATTTGTATCGGTAGGAAGATGAAGCGCGTTCTGACAGGATTCTCAAAGTTGTGATATAAAACTGCTCAATCCCACAGGAACGCATACGAGTACACACCAGGCTGGGAGAAGCACGAGCGAAGGTGGAATAGTCTGGCACAGAAAGGCCGGAATAGGTGACTAAGAGAACCAAAGGGTTCTGGGGCTGCTGAAAATAGCTCTGAACATACTGTAGTTCATCGGCTTGGTCTTCTTGTTTGTGAATATGATGAATGTGCTGAGATGACAGCCGACATGAACTGCCATGGCAAAACAAAAGAGGTGAATTGAGATGGAGATTGACTACCGGATCAGCAAAAGCGCGTCGATATTTTTGTCCTGTAGGATGCGTTCATGGCGTGTACAACTTGGTGGTGGTGGTGTGGTGAGGTGAGGTGAAGAGGGCACACTTCCCGAGGTCTGGTTGACGCGAGAGATGACGCGCCATGGACCCACTCTTGGCAGCGTTTCTACCCGCGGGGAGCAGCCGTGCCTAAGCTCCTAAGAACTCCAAGAGAATGCTGTCGTGAACAGCGCAAGTGTTGTATGTTACAATTTTTCATATCACCACCTGGGCATGCGGGCCATGGGATGTTTCCTGGCTCATCATGCAACAGCTACCGTACACGTGATTCATTCGTGGACACTCTTTCGCTACACTCATCTTGTTTGGAAGATCTATAGATCTTCTCCCTGGCTCGATCGAGATGGAGGCTTCAGGTAAATTGATGAACCATCACGACTGAATAATCACCTGACTTACCTAGGTACATAGTATCTCAACGCCCCAACAACCGCGAGATCCGCGTCTTGGATCTACTACCTGGCTGTCCCGACGAAAAAATCGAGTGCCATATCCGAAACATTAGCGTCGATGGAGATGTGCAATACGAAGCGCTATCATATGTTTGGGGTGACGCTATCGAGAAAAGAAGCCTTCAAGTGTCGGGAAGCCCCATCAGCATCTCGCCAAACCTCCACGACGCTCTTCGACGCCTACGCTATCCAAACCAAATGCGCACACTATGGGTTGATCAGATATGCATCAACCAGTGGGATATGGAAGAGAAGGCCAGCCAAGTTGCCTTGATGCGAGAAATCTACAGTAAATGCGCACATTGCATTCTATGGCTGGGTGAGATCCAATATGCCGAACATGGCATAAATGAGGCGGACACATACGCAGTATTTGCGTTCTTCGAAGCTGTGGCCAACAGGCCAGCAATTAGAAACGCATCAGCAGGAGAGGCCTACGACTTGTCTAGTAAAGGCGTTGACCCCGAGGATGGCCTCCCCACGCTCTTTCAAGAAGGTGCCGCAGGCGTGACGGCCCGGAAAGCCTTTGCAGCCTTTGCTATGTATGGAAATACCTGGTGGGAGCGCATCTGGACAATTCAAGAGTCAATACTGCCCCACTCAGCTGAGTTCAGATGGGGCCCACTCTTAGTGTCACGGCGCGACATACTCCTAGTGGTACAGCACCTGCGTGGCGACAATCTTCGCTCTTTTCCACCCAGGTTTCGATATCAGCGCATCATGCATACCCCACTTCTCCGTAGTCTTCTGTATCCTGTCAATGGGTTTCTACATTCGAGTGATGGCGAGTCCGGGTTAGACTTGTTCATGCGCTGGCGCCATCGGAAAGCTACCGATCCACGCGATAAAATCTATGGGCTATTGGGCTTGCTTGATGCGCGTCAGATCTCAAAGACTCTCCCACACGCTCAAGCGCGTAGCTACTCACTACCGGCATCTTTATTATTTGCAATGGTTACAAGCGATCTACTGCTATTTCGAGAAGGTCTTAGGCCTCTGATTGCGTCCAGCGAGATGCCGCATGTCACCCCCGATCTACCGAGTTGGTCAATCGACTTCGCATGCTCCAACCGTGTAGGCAAGCGCCAGCTGAAGTGGTGGAATCATTCGCATCGATACAGGCAGTTCTCGGCAGGTGGTAGAATCGACCGCGAACAAAAGCTCGAGAAGGGAGGCTCAGTACCGAAGGTATCAAGTGATTGGACATGTTTATCCTTGCGAGGTCTGCTGGTCGACCAAGTAGAGCAAGTCAACAGCGTATACGAGGTTTCTGATGAGGAAGACCTTGACTATCGGAAGATACGGGACATAATGTCGGACGCAAGGCAACTGGTGGAAGGACGAGATAGCTATAAACGTTATCCGGCACAGTGGTGCGAAGCCCTGTGGCGGACCATGATCGGTGATCTCGTCATGGCTGAGTATCCTATCGAACGAGCGAAAGCAACACACGCTTCGGAATTTCTCGAGATCGAACGCGCACTCAACAATGAAGAATTCCCGCCACAAGGCCACCAGTCCAATTATCCTCCACACGGAATGAGCGGGCTATTTGAATCTCTCTGTGGTATGGTACCGAATCATGCTTTCTTCATTACAAAGAGAGGTTACCTCGGTATGGGCCCGCCTACTACCTTGCCGGAAGACCAGATCTGGGTCTTTTATAACGGTGACGTACCATTCGTCATGCGGAAAAGAAACACGGAAGAAGTTGAGAATGGATATCATGAGCTTCGTCTTGTTGGAGACGCGTATGTACACGGCATCATGGACGGCCAGGCTATCTCAGACGAACAGGTCACTCAGACAGCTCACATTTACTAAAGTGGAAGGTCTTCGCTTCTGTAATCGCGTGGAATACTAGGTGGTTTGTCAATGGGAGTGACGGATATCGCACCGCCCACATCGGATGATCGTCGAATAAAGATCTTTCGGCTTTTCTGTCGGTTTTGTAATGGGAATATCAGAAGTACACGGTGTTTTGTCAAAGTGAAGTGATCGAGTTGATGCGAGGTGCTTCGCTCCATGCGACTTGATCGTTTACAGCATGATCGTCCCCGCAACCTTGTGCCATACAGGCGTAACAAATGCAGTTCTTTGCAGATATTCAAGCAGACGCTTCACCAAGTTCATCGACAGGTACCCAAAGTACCCTTGCTTCCCTCTGCAGGCCCTCCGCGTCCAACTGCCTCTTCACAACCACGATGACCATGATTTCTCTCTTCGGCAACGGCTTGAGATCCCACCCCAGGACTTTCGGCCTCTGAACTTCATCTGAAAACGAAACGTTCCACTCCAACTTGTTGGCGTTCTCGTGAAATACCGCCTCCCCGTCTACGAAGACCTCCAGTGACGTTGCTGGTGATGGGTGGTCAGAGCCACCGTCGGCGACCATGGAGACTTGGATGGTGAGGCCCGAGATAGTGTTGGAGACAGCTGCAACGCACTCAATAAGAGGCTTATTTTTAGGTGGCGGGGAGAATGCCTTTCGGATGATATCGGTGGGTAGGGCGGTAAGAGGAGGCGGTATACGTCTCTTGGTCGCCCGTTCGAACGCATATGCATACTCCAATAGCTTCGTATCTTCGTAGGCTTTCCCCGCGAATGTGATGTTCACAGGCATGTTTTTGTCGCTCATGACACCCATGGGTACACTAACAGTAGGTACACCGAGATGCCTGATCGCGCGATTACCGTTGGAGTATTTTACGCCATTCTGGAGACTATGTGTCGTGCTGTCAATGTCGAATTCAAGATCTGCGAGACCGACGTCGCCTTGCGCAGGAAATGCAACGACATCCAGCCCATTTTTGTCCATCCAATCTTCTAGATCGCGTTTCCTTTGGGCTTCGAGAGCTTTGAGAGCTTGCTCCATACCCTGGATGTCATGTATACTCCCATCCTGGACCATCTTGGGCAGACCGGGGTAATCAATCCAATTCCTCACTTCGAGAAAGCGATCCGGCTTGTAGCCTGGTGGCTTTGGGAATAGCATCGCAGGATCTTTGATGTCGGCTAAGCACTTGATGTTGGAATCATTGTTGTCTACGAGAAAAGCATTCCACGCTTGGGCGATAAGAACGCCTCGCTCGAGGAGGTTCCAGTTCGCAGGACGTCCATCGACGTTGTTCGCTTCACCCGAAACGGAGTCGTTTTCGTAATTTGTTACCAGAGGGAAATCGGTGTAGACGATCTCTGCCCCCATGGACTTAATGTCTTCTGCTGCCCGTTGCCATATTGCGACGACCTCTGGTGAGACGTAAGGATGCTTTGCGTGCGGATCTGAGTCTTTCTGGCCAGTGTACATCTTCGGCACCCCAATCCTCTTACCTCGCAGCGCTTCGCCGTTTCGTAAAGTAGTGTAATCGATCGAAGGAGGCTGAGGTATTTCCACATGCTTTTGTTCGCGAATGAAGTCCCCGGTGGTGTCTTCATCTGGAGTAGCAATGACATTTAGTATTTCCAACATGTCGTCCACCGATCGCGCATACGGGGTTGGAACATCGCATGTGATGTACAAAGGCCACAACCCGCGACAGCTCAAGAGTCCTTTCGATGGTGTGTAGCAGACAATGGCGTTATTGGACGCTGGACTTCGTCCGCTGCTGACGGTCTCGCTACCCATGCCGAAAGCTGCCATGCTGGACGTCACAGACGTTGCAGCACCATTTGAAGACCCAGATGAGAAGGCGCCAGTGAGGTACTTTGAGTTATACGGCGACTCTGCACGACCATACATGCCTCTCTGCATACCACCCGCAGCCATCGGTGGCATGTTAGTCTTTCCAATCAAGATCGCTCCCGCAGCTCGAAGCTTCTCAGCGATTGCAGAGTCGCCGCTCGACATGACACCTTTCAGAGCAGGTGAGCCATCTGTGACTGTCATGCCGGCAACTTTGTAACTATCTTTGATCGTATAAGGTATACCTTCCAAAGGTCGAGGCTTGAGACCTTGGGCACGCCGAGCATCGGAAGCTGCTGCATCTTGGAGGACCTTCTCGTTGAATACCGTAAAGGCATTAAGACCTTGGATAGTGTCGAACTTGGCAATGCGATTCAGACAGCTGATGACAAGATCCACGCTGGTAATCCGTTGTTCGTCGAGAGCTTCTAGATGATCACCGATACTAGCTTCGACAATGTTAAAGTCTTGAGGATTTAGACCAAGACTCTAGATCAGGAAATGAGTCAGTCAATGTCATGCCGTTGGTGGTCGCGAACATACACTATTGCCTGCCATGTTTCAGGAACAGCTTAGCTCAACGAAGGTGTTCCAAAAGGTAGTGAGTCCCAATTCTTGTGGGCGTGTGGTGACGCCAGCGTTGTCGATTGTATGTTCGTGGTCCCAGGCGGGAGCAGGATGGGCCGACGTAATCGTGTCTGGGAGATAGTCACTTCCCCACTTCTGGATAGTCGGTTGGGCTTTCCCTGTACGGCTAGCTCCATGTAGTGTAGAAGCAGGTGCGTTCCGTATCCATTCCGCATACGGCTTGTATCGCTCATAAAGATGCGTTTAGGGCAGGCGCAATCGCCGCGGCAGCACATGGTCACCATGACCGGACTGTGGAAAATGACATGGACAACGTAAGGGCTCATACTGCTCGAATACCTCAACTGTCAAAAAAGCTAAACGCTCGAATGTATGTAAATTGTGCCGAAACCCAGTAAGCCCTCTTACCATGGTAACAAATCCCCTAGGCTGTACTTGCCCAGAGCGCCTTGAACCTCGTACTTCCAGCCACCAAACCACAGGCACCCATCCATCCCAGATTCCAGCCTGGCAAGCCTCCAGTCGTGCTGCTGAAGTGCAGCGCCATGGGCAACCACGCGCTTGCGATAACAAAATCGGTCCACCACCTGTTGTCAAACTTCTTGTCCTCTTCGTCCTGATATTCCGCAATCGCGCGGCCATCGGCAACCATCTGTTGCCTAGTCACCCTCCTGCGGCCCTCGAGCTGCCACTCGCGCATCAAGCGGAGGAAGTCGCACGACACGCCGCCTAGCCAACAGCGGTAGGCATACAGGTATAAACGCGCAGTCGTCGAATCGCCGCGGTTGAGGGTAGAGATGAAGCGGGGCGAGATGACGCCCGAGTCGGCGAGGAGGGAGATGTTCTCTAGGGCTTGGTAGGAGAAGTAGCTGCTCGCCTGCAGCATGGCGATGCGGTGCAGCACGACATCTGTGCCGGCTTTGGGGCCTGAGGCTAGCGAGCGCAACCAGGCGTACAGCGGGAAGAGACCAAACAGCCTCAGCGTTGTGCGCGCTTTCGAGATGAGGACGGCGAGCGCAGCGATGGGCGGCACCGTGCCGTTGTTCAACAGGGTTGCGGCGGAGATCTTTGCATCGTCGCAAGCGGGGCGGATCAGCGTGAGGAGCCGTGTCGCGAAGCTGGAAATGGACGGCGATTTGGTCTGCACGTAGGCGAGGATATAGAGGGAGTAGTTGAATGTGGAGAGGAATGCGGAGAGGCCGCCTGGGGAAGCTAGGAGTCTGCCCTACATTAGCTCATGCCTCTGACCCTCACAACGACACACGCTCGACCTGACGTACTTGTTCAGCCTCAGAATCGTTTGGTCCACTTTCTTGACGCCTGCAAGCAAGTCGGTCCTGTCCAGGTCCCTCGGATCCGCCCTGGGTGCGGCATCCGCTATCTTATCCACCACCTCCTTGACGTCAGGGGTGTCAGTCACATTGGACGCTTCGGGCTGGGTGGGCTTCTCGGTTTCGTCAGACATGGCGAGATTGGTCCGTATATGTAATGATGAGCATGCAGGAGGTCAGGAAGTCTGGGTAGAATGAGGTAAAGGGTTATGCTTCTCCGCACGCAAGCCATGGGGAGCTCATTGCCGCTATCCCCGTGAGCCGAGGCATTGCCACCAGCGGTGTGCCATCCTCTCAACACCACCTGCATCGTGCTTTTTGACTTGGATCTTTTTGAACTTTGGTTTTTGTTTGCGATACGGGCGCAAATCTACAGACATGGACGCGCTTTGAATCGTATTATGAGCGGGAACCCCCGTCTCTTGCGCTCCGCACTTCATCAAACGCCTTCGACAAACCCCCGGGTTCCACGCCGCTCCACATCCTCTGCATCAAGCCTCTTGATCACATCCTCAATCTCCTCCCAAGCTGCGCGCCCTCGTTCCCCGGATTCGCTCTTTATCGCATCTAGCGTTCGTCTTCGCCGCTCCTTGGGCTCGCTCCTGAGTTGAGTGAGGAACAGGCGTTTCGACTCTTCGAGCTGGGTGCGAGCTTTGTCTAGCACTTGGTCCGTCGGCTTATTGTCTTGCTCAACGTCATTCAATCCACTCTCGAGAAATAGTAGACTGATGCGTGGACTGAGCGTTAGCTTGTTATTCCTCTCACTCTATGGGAAAATAGAGGACTCCCGTCAAAACATACCGCATCTGCGCCAGACTGTATAGCTTCTCTTCTATCTCAGCTCTGTCCCAGGTGCTCCTTGCCTGCCGCCATACCAGATGCCATTTCCCTGTTGCGACATTGCCAGGAAGCTTCCTTGCTATCTCCTTATCGAGATCGTCGAGCCGTTTGAAGAACTCAGTGCTGATAGCGTCTCTGCGTTCTATCGACCATGCAAAGTCTCGTAGTCGTGTCGCTTGCGCCTGCACTGCAGCCCAGTCGCTATCACTTTTCACTCGATAGAGCGCAGCCACCTGGTAGAGAGTGCCAGCTATCAGAATGTACGCGAATGTTAAGATGGAAAGGACGTTGGCGGTAGAAGAGAGTGCGCTGTCGCGACAGTCGCACGTGCTGTAAAGTGGTGTCTCCATGGGGTTGATATGAGACACGTCGATGTAGGTCTCACGAACGGCAGATTGGTGACTCGAGGAAGGCTGGGGAGCTTCCATTCCTTCGAGAAGTTCCCCGCCAGCTTACTTGCGATAGTAGACTGCATACTGACTTGCGTCGGTGTTGGTTCGGTTGCGGCTAAGTGCCTGCAGCACACATGTGCTCAGCCTTGTCGTCCAAGACTTGGGTAGGTGTATGGCTATGTTCCCCAGTTCACCTGACTACGCTTCTGAACGACCCCAGTGCTTCGAGTAGTTTCAACATCACACAATGTAGTGAAAGACATCACCGGACATGGGAACGCTCAAAGCCATGCTATTAGCACAGCTAACGTGTTGTGACAAAGACATACTTCAACAATGCCAGCGCAAACACTACGAAAACAAATCACCCACCCGTGGCCTGCCAGGGAAAATCTACATCTCACACGTCGAGATCATCCACCTGAAAAGCCATAATTCGAATCTGCACTAACTGCCGGCCATGGCCATTCCACAGATACAGGGCGCTAAAAGGGCGGGGGCCCCGCTGATAGATGGAGACCAGCACGCACCAGATACTACCAGTGCACCAGAGCAAGCAGTCAAACGAGCCAAAAAGCACCCGTTCGACACCCTCGCGCTCAGAAAGATGGGATACGACTTTAAAATACCAGCGATCATTGCCAGAATCCGTACTAATTCGGCTCAGCCCTTCGACGTGGGCATGGGGTTAGGGGTGATGCTGTACCACATCGTTCCGTTGATATCAACGCACTTGGAAAATCCTATGGAGTTCCACAACAAGGCGCCAACAGCCTTGCAATGGGCAACTGAGTTCGTCGAAGCGGTTGATCAGTATATCGCATACTTGCGTCTTACGGATGGTTGCTCAGAGAAATTTCCTAATGATGCAACCGTCGATCGCAAGAGTCGACGGCCACGGCGCAAATACATGGGGCGGTATACCCACCTCGTCGAGAATGCTTATAAGAATCATGTCCGCGAACAGCTCTGCGACATATTCCAATCGTGGAGCAAGGAACAAACGCAGCTCTTCAACAAGGGTATGGATAAAGCTCTCTCGGGAATACAGTGGGTCGTCTACCCGCAAGAAAATGTGGTTCTGGCTGCTGGCGACGACGAGTGGACGATATGGCTTCGCGGAAGGTGCGAAGAGCTAGGCATGATTGAAGCAAGGGCGGAGAGGAAGGTGTTTGAGGATATTTAGGGACGGGTCTGCCTGAATATGGTTTGAGTGTTTGTTGGTAGTAGTAGACGCAAAGTATTGACCACGGACAGTCGACGGAAACCAGTGCAAGAAGAAATGTGAAAACAGAAGTTGCATTCTCGTGACCTCGGGACCGGCCTCAGGCATCTTGTGCTAAGTCGTTAGTTGGAGATCGTGCTGCGAACATGCGGTTGCTGGGCTGGGGCTGCATAAACAGCTGCAAATTGGTGGATTGCAGGTGGAGTGGTGGAGTGACGAGGGTGACTAGGGACCGTTGGCGAGATTGGAGCGGGCAGAGCGGGCCCACCGCCAAGGCGCCTGCATAGGCATGCTGGGGGCAACTGCGTCCCAGGACTCGAAACACGCGCTCGAAACCGTCGCATTGCCCTCGCACCCACCGCAGCGCCTCTTATAGCCCAACGCCCGAGGCCGGAGAGTCTGTCATTCCTACACTCGCCACCACCCCCGTCACTGCCACCCGCAACAATGGCCGGCCGATTTGTGCGAGCGTCCAAGTACCGTGAGTGTTGATGTCCAACGCCCGCCCAGCCCAACATGCTAACAACGCCTGCCAGGCCACGTCTTTGGCAAGGGCACCAAAAAGGTACGCTCCAATGCCATCCATGGATCTAGCACGCACGTGTACTGACCGTCTTGCAGGAGCAATGCTACGATAACCTCCGCATCTCCAAGAATGCGTGGGACACCAACCTGATCAAGGTCAGCTCTCCCGCACGCGACCCCGTCGTACTTGCGCTCACCCCCCTAGGCCAACCCCGAATACATCTCGGTCAACTGGGAAGCCAGCGGCGGTGGCGCCTTTGCCGTCATCCCCATCAATGAGCGCGGCCGAGCGCCCGACCAGCTCCCTCTCTTCCGCGGCCACACTGCCGCCGTCCTCGACACCGACTGGTATGGTCGCACATGGCATGACAGGGCCGAGTACGACGCTAACCGCGCGCAGGTCTCCCTTCAACGACTCTCTCATTTCCTCGGCCTCTGACGACGGCAAAGTCGGCATCTGGAAGGTGCCCGAGAACTTCACCCTGCACACCGATGCCGAGGAGCCCGCTGATGTCGCGCCTGTCGCCAAGCTGAGCGGCCACATGAGGTACGCCGATGCGCTCGGTCGAGATTCGCATCTAACACTGCCACAGGAAGGTCGGCCATGTCCTCTTCAACACCGCCGCCGAGAACGTCCTCGCCAGCGCGTCTGGCGACTACACCGTAAAGCTCTGGGACGTCGAGGCCGGTCTGCCACAGCTCACGCTCAAGCACAACGACATTGTCCAATCGCTCTCATGGAGCGCCGACGGATCGCTCCTCGTCACCACGAGCCGCGACAAGAAGCTGCGCGTATGGGATGTACGCCAGGAGAAGCCCGCCCAGGAGGTTCCCGGTCATCCTGGTGCCAAGAACAGCCGCGCTGTGTGGATGGGTGAGACCGACCGTATCGCGACCACTGGCTTCTCGCGCATGAGCGACCGTCAACTCGGTCTCTGGGACCCGCGCAACCCCAAGGAGCCCATTGGCGGCTTCCAGATCCTCGACTCCATCTCCGGTGTCTGCATGCCCTTCTGGGACGACGGTACACAGTGCTTGTACCTCGCCGGCAAGGGGTACGTCTGACCTCCCAATTTTATGGCCATACACTAACTTGCGCAGTGACGGCAACATCCGCTACTATGAATACGAGAACGACAAGTTCGAGTACCTCTCCGAATACAAGTCCGGCGACCCTCAGCGCGGTATCGCCTTCCTTCCCAAGCGGGGTATCAACCTGCACGAGAACGAGGTCCTGCGCTGCTTCAAGACTGTCAACGATGCCTACGTCGAGCCCGTATCATTCATCGTCCCCCGCCGTTCCGAGATGTTCCAGAGTGATATTTACCCGCCTACGACAGGTCTGAAGCCAGGTGTTTCGGCTGCCGATTGGTTCAGCGGAAAGACTGCAATGCCGCCCAAGATTTCACTTGAAAGCGTCTATGAGGGCGAAGCCCCCAAAGAGGTGGAAAACGACTACAAGCCTTCCCAGCCGGCCACCAGTCAGCCATCCCCCGTCAAGGCCGAGCCGCCCAAGCCTGCGCCCGAGCCCATACCTACACCAGTCGCTTCTCGTGGTCCACCCCCATCTATGAAGGACAACAAGGATTCTATGGCGTCGGCAGCTTCCAAATTCGCGGACAAGGATGCTTCAGACAACGAGAGCGCGTCGAGCTTCGAAGAGATTCCCAAGCCAGCAGAGCGCCGCACTTTCACTGCTTCCCGCCAGGAAGAGAAGGTTAAGGGCCCCACTATCTCCAAGGAACCTGAGAGCGCGAAGTCCACTCACAGTCCCACACCTGCAGCATCCTCTACACCCACCTCATCTGCTGCACCTGCCTCTTCTACGCCCACTGCGGCCGCTACGACTTCCACACCTAGCGCCGGTGGCCCTGCTTCCGCTCTCCGCGATGCACTAGGCGACATCAAGTCACAGCTTGAGCAGCAAAACAGGGTCATGTCGGACCAAACCGATCAAATCGCACTCCTTCTGCGCGAAGTCTCGATGCTCAAGACCAAGGTTGCCAGCTCCGAGCCCTCGGACCGTGAAAAGGATGAGCGCATCAGGCAGTTAGAGCTCGAGCTTGAGGAAGCCAGGTCTTGAACATGAGGACCTTAACTTTCTCATGCTTGGTGCTGACGCTGTTAGAAAACTGAACGAGGACTATATGTATCTGATCACTCATCAGGGTGTTGCAAAGAAATCGTCGTTTGGATAAGATCTCAGGGATATGAGTGGCATTATCCGGCTGGCGAGCTGTTGGTAGGGGCCGATGTACGATGATTGGGGGCTGTTCTGTGTATGCGTATCGTCTGTCTGTCGAACTTGCTTTCGTTAGCAAGGTGTTTGGGTTAGCGGCATTGTATGGCACGAAATTCATTACTTCTAGTTTAGTGACTATTTTCCCGCGGCCTCGACATCTGGACATCCGCTGAAATTGTACGCGCAATTTCTAGCAATCCTGTTGTTGGTTGACTCAGCAACATGGTCGCCATAACTAACGCTCCGGACCTCCTAATCTTGCACTCTCCAGGGCTTGCCTTCTTCTTCCCACCGTTAATTCTCCCTAACCATCTCGTCTCAATCTTCACACGTGGCGCGTTGCCAAGCCTGCCAACGTACGCAGACCGACTGCACCGAATTTATTGTTACCTCCATACAGAGCTCAACCGTCCCTGTACTTCGCGCCCGTCCACGGCTCACCATGGCAGCGTATATCAACCTTGACTTGCAAGGTACGTTACCAGTACAATGTTATACACGGTCTGTTCTTCTAACGTAGAACGAGGGGCCTTCTATTTTGCTGGACATCGTTCTGCCGAAGATGACGCCATGCTGCAACTATTTTCGAGCAGGCTTGCGGGCGTAGCAAGAGGTGCGTAGTACCATCATCGCCCGGCATAGACGGCAAAAAGTGCTCATAGACGTAGAATCTACTTTTGATGTTTTGTACTCGCAGGTTGCCCGGGATTGGCAACAGCGGGACGACCTCCTCACACCCTTTAACGACCGCCGATGGAGTCACGTTAGAGCGGTCTGGACCTTTGACCTTGATCGCGATATTCTGCGATTGGACCAGACAGATCGCAACCTTTGGGTTCCTCTCGACCTTGTTCGCCAGCGTTCCATAACCATTTCCGATTTCGAGCCTTGCGAACCACCGCCGACACTTGCCAAACATGCCTTGCAATCCGTCTACTCAGCACGCCGCCCAGTGGTGTTCTGGAA